TCATAACCCTTCATTCCCTTACTGATTAAAAATCTATCCCAGCTCCTCAAATAATTATAATAAATTTGTCAGGCATGATTTCCCCTTTGTGAAGCTATGCTGACTCCGCTTGCAGTGAAGCCCCCTTTGTCTGGATCCCAGCCACTTGGAATGTAACTGGCTGGCATGTGGGGTTACCAGGGAAGGTTTTGGGGGAGTTGGAAATGGATCAAGTGGGAATTGGGAAGAGAGCCTAGTGAGAGTGACCAGTGGTGGGGAGGTCAGGGAGGACGGCTGAGGTGGGGGAGAGCCTGGTAGGGAGGGGTGGCAGTTGGAATACTGGTGCTGAGTAGAATCGGGCTACCATTGTGTTTGATGCTGCTCTCGCTCTCTCCCTCCATGCAGTTTAAGCCCATCCTCCTGGGCACGGTGGATCCTCGATCTCCCATGGCCCAGTACCAGCGGGTTGTTAACAGCCAAAAATGTGTGCGTGCTGGTGGCAAACACAATGACCTGGAGGATGTGGGCCGAGACCTCTATCACCATACCTTCTTCGAGATGTTAGGCAACTGGTCTTTTGGAGACTACTTCAAGGTGAGGGAGACATGGTAAGATGTTGGGGAGGCACATTTTCAGGATGAGGTAAAGGAGCAGTAGAGAGATTGATTTTTTTTATTTAAATATCATTCATTCGTGGGATATGGGTTTCATTGTGGCTTTTATTTATTGCTCATCCCAAGTTGTCTTTGAGAAGATGGTGGTGAGCTGATTCAGAGTAGTATTCCACCAAGGTTAACATTCTGAGGATGTGGGTTTGAATCCCACCATTGCAGATGGTGAAATTTGATTTGAATAAAAATCTGTAATTCAAAAGCTAATGATGATCATGTAACTATTGTCATAGAAACCCATCTTGTTTACTAATGTCCTTAATGGAAAGAAATCTTTACGTGGTCAGGCTAATGTACGATTCCAGACCGACAGCAATTTGGTTGACTATTAAACACTCTCTGAAATGGTCCCAGCAAGCTAGTCAGATCAAGAGGCAATTAGGGGAGGGATAATAAATGCTGGCCCAGATACAGACGTCCACATTCTGTGAATGAATAATGAAACAAAAAATAGGTTACTTTGACCTGGATGGTGTCAAGCTTCTTGAGCGTTGTTGGAGTTGCACTCATACAGGCAAATTGACCATCACACTTGTGACTTGTGACTTGTGCCTTGTACGTGCTGGACAGGCTTTGACGAGTCAGGAGGTGAGTCAACACCATTAAATGTCAGGAAGAGATGTTTAGATTCTCTTGTTGCAGATAGTCATTGCCTTGCAAATGTTACTTCCGCTGTCGGTCCAAGCCTCAATGTTTGCCAGGTCTTGCTGTTCAAACTCAAAAATCTTCAGTACCAGAGGAGTTGTGAATGGTCTGGAATGCTTTGTAGTGATCAGTAAATATCCCCAGTTTTGACTTTTATGATGGAGGGAAGGTCATTGATGAAGTAGCTAAAGATGATTGAGCCTCAAACGTGACCCTAAGAAACTTCTGCAGGGGTGTTTTGGAGTGGAGATGACTGACCTGCAAGAAGCACAACTACCTTCCTTTGAACTAGGTCTGACTCTCAATCAGCAGAGATGTTCTCCTGATTCCCATTAGAGTCCAGTTTAACTTGAGGTCCTCGGTGCTACAGTCATTCGAATGTTTCCTTCGTGTCAGAGGCAGTCACTCTCACCTTGCCTCTGGAGTTGAGCTCTTTTGTCAATGTTTGTATCAAGACTAATGACGTCAGGTGAAGTTACAGGTAGGATTTAATCTCTGGCCCTGAAGAGGGAATACATGGTTTAATCTTGCTCAGATCTTGACAGGCAGGGTGCAGGGGATATCACTGAATTTTCAGAGAGTAATTGTTTGCTCTGTGGGTGTGTTTTCGGCAGGAGGAAGCTTGCAGAATGGCCTGGGAGTTGCTGACTGAGGTGTATGGTATCCCGCAGGACCGCCTCTACATGACCTTTTTCAGGGGAGACCCAGCATTGGGCTTGACAGCTGATGAGGAGACCAAAGAGATTTGGCTGAGCATTGGGTGAGACTGTGTGGAGAGTCTGTTTGCAGTTTAGCAGTTTAAGCATGGAGCTTGGAGAAAAGTCTCACTGCTGGCTGTTCCCTTGGCATCTCTAAAACTGTCAACCATGAGACCATTAACATCCAGTTTCAACTATTCTAATGCTATTCTGGCTGATCTTCAATCTTAAATCGTTAAACATAGAAAATAGGAGTAGGCCATTCAGGTCTTCAATCCTGCTCCCTGTATTCAATATGATGATAGCTGATCGTTCAACTCAGTACATTGATCCTGCTCTCTCCCCGTATCCACTGATCCCTTTAACCCCAGGAACAAATTTAACTCCTTCTCGAAAACATTCACTGTTTGGCCTTGACCCAGAGAATCTACAGGCTCACCATGCTCTGGGCGGAGACTAGCAAATGTTGTCCCCTTGTTCAAGAAGGGGAGTAGAGACAACCCTGGTAATTATAGACCAGTGAGCCTTACTTCGGTTGTGGGTAAAGTGTTGGAAAGGATTATAAGAGATAGGATTTATAATCATCTAGAAAGGAATAATTTGATTAGGGATAGTCAACACGGTTTTGTGAAGGGTAGGTCGTGCCTCACAAACCTTATTGAGTTCTTTGAGAAGGTGACCAAACAGGTGGATGAGGGTAAAGCGGTTGATGTGGTGTATTTGGATTTCAGTAAAGCGTTTGATAAGGTTCCCCACGGTAGGCTATTGCAGAAAATACGGAGGCATGGGATTGAGGGTGATTTAGCGGTTTGGATCAGAAATTGGCTAGCTGTAAGAAGACAGAGGGTGGTGGTTGATGGGAAATGTTCATCCTGGAGTTCAGTTACTAGTGGTGTACCTGAAGGATCTGTTTTGGGGCCACTGCTGTTTGTCATTTTTATAAATGACCTGGATGAGGGCGTAGAAGGATGGGTTAGTAAATTTGCGGATGACACCAAAGTCGGTGGAGTTGTGGATAGTGCGGAAGGATGTTGCAGGTTACAGAGGGACATAGATAAGCTGCAGAGCTGGGCTGAGAGGTGGCAAATGGAGTTTAATGCGGAAAAGTGTGAGGTGATTCACTTTGGAAGGAGTAACAGGAATACAGAGTACTGGGCTAATGGTAAGATTCTTGGTCGTGTGGATGAGCAGAAAGATCTCGGTGTCCATGTGCATAGATCACTGAAAGTTGCCACCCAGGTTGATAGCGTTGTTAAGAAGGCGTACAGTATGTTAGGTTTTATTGGTAGAGGGATTGAGTTTCAGAGCCATGAGGTTATGTTGCAGCTGTACAAAACTCTGGTGCGGCCGCACTTGGAGTATTGCGTACAGTTCTGGTCACCGCATTATAGGAAGGATGTGGAAGCATTGGAAAGGGTGCAGAGGAGATTTACCAGGATGTTGCCTGGTATGGAGGGAAGGTCTTATGAGGAAAGGCTGAGGGTCTTGAGGCTGTTTTCGTTAGAGAGAAGAAGGTTAAGAGGTGTCTTGATAGAGACATACAAGATGATCAGAGGATTAGATAGGGTGGACAGTGGGAGCCTTTTTCCTCGGATGGTGATGGCTAGCACGAGGGGACATAGCTTTAAATTGAGGGGTGATAGATATAGGACAGATGTCAGAGGTAGGTTCTTTACTCAAAGAGTAGTAAGGGTGTGGAATGCCCTGCCTGCAAAAATAGTAGACTCGCCCACTTTAAGGGCATTTAAATGGTCATTGGATAAACATATGGATGATAATGGAATAGTTTAGGTCAGATGGGCTTCAGATTGGTTTCACAGGTCGGCGCAACATCGAGGGCCGAAGGGCCTGTACTGCGCTGTAATGTTCTATGTTCTATGTTCTAAGTTCTAAGACATTTCTTCTCATCCCAGTCCTAAAAGACCCAGTCCTTACACTCTGTCTCCTAGTTCTGCACTTACCAGTCACAGGAACATTCTTCTAGCATTTACCCTGCCTAGTCCTGTTAGAATTTTATGTACAGTTGTATGCTTTTTCCTGAAGTTTGATGATTTCCCTCACTAATTTAGTTAGCCACAGATGGTGGGTCCTTCCTTTAGAAATTTCCTTTCTAGTAGGAGTACACTATTGAGTGATCTGAAATATTGTCTTAAGTGTCAGCCACTGTGTCGCTATTTATCTGTCTGTATTTGTTATGCTAGTTCACTTCAGCTAACTCAGCTTTCATGTCCATATAGTTGCCATTATTTAAGTTCAAATACTAGTCTCAGACCTAATCATCTCCTTTTCAAATTGGGTGAGAAATTCAGTTGTGTTGTGGTTGCTGCCACCTACAGCTACCCCAACTTTGAACTCGTTAATTAATATTTTCACATAACATAATACCAAGCCGAATATAACCTCTTCTCCGGTCAGTTCCAAAATATGCCACTCTGAGAAGCTATCTCAAGAGCATTCTTTGAACTTGTCATAGGGGGAAATACCGCCAATTTGATTTTTTTTTCAGTTCGTAAATGGAGTACGATCAGCCATGATTATTGTCCTTCCCTTATTATAAGTACCTAGTATTCTTGTACACTTTCCCCACTTTGTAGACCATTCCTACCAGCGACGTCTTCCCCTACTGTTCCTTATCTCCACCCAAACAGATTCTACATTCTAATCTCCTGAACCAAGATCATCTCCAATTCTTGCACACATGCCATCCTTGATAAGCAGTGCTATCCCTTCACCAATCTTCCTCCTCCTCTTGAATGTCACATACTTCTCAATATTCAGGACTCAATCCTTGTCATCCTGAAACCAGGACTTCATAATGACTATTGAATTATATTTATTTACTTCAGTGTATGCTATCAATTTGTTTACTTTGTTCTGCATTCAAATGTGGAGTCTTTACTTTCATCTTTTTGTTATCTTTATAATACCTAGTCTTGATTGTTGTATTCTTCTTTTTAAATCTCCGTTCCTTCCTGCCATTCTCTAACTCTCATTTCCCACATTATTGTATTTCTCTCTTTGGTCTCTACCTTTGATAGCTCACATCTTTCTACATTTGATCTCTTGTCCTGGCTATTTAATTTAAAGTCCAGTGTACTTCCCGAGCTATATGGTTCATAAGGCCACCTGGCCCGATTCAGGTGCAGACTATCCCAGTGCCACAGTCCCTGCTTTCCCCAGTGCCATTACTAATGACCTTTGAACTGGTGCACACTTCTCCCACACCAGTCTTTAAGTCACATATTCATCACTTGTATATATCCAATTTTATTCATCAATTTATTGGTCAATTTTATGTACCTGATGCCAATTTGTACGTCGCTCGGCTAATCACATTCAAGGTTCTGCGTTTTTGATTTAGTACCCAGCTCCTCATATTCTCTGTGCAGAGCCTCCACCCTAATTTTGCATGCCAACATGGACCATGATCAGAAGATCATCCCACTTGCTGCAAGTTCCTTTTCAGCCCCGAGCAGATGTCCCAAACCCTAGGGTCGGAGAGGCAATACACTTGTCTGGACTGTTGCTTTTTGCAGAGAATGGTGTCAGTCCCTTTTGCTGTATGATTATTAGCAATTCTTTGCTCCCCCTGACTGTACAATGGTGCTGTGGTCAGTTTGCATATTTCATCTTCTCTCTGCCCTGTTCTTATCTCGACAGACTGAGAGAACCTCAGACCTATTGGTTAATTGCAGAGGCTGACACACCGGGACTCCTGCCCTCTGCATCCCCTTACCTGCCTCACTCTGTCACACCCTCCTGTCCCTAATCACTGAACAAATCGGAAGACGCTATCCTAAGTGGTGTAAATGTCCCCTGTTACAAAAAAAATCCAGGTACCCTCCCCTTTCACTGATGTGTTGCAGTGTTTGTAGTTCAGTCTCCAGTTTATAATCTCAGCAAAAGCTGCTGAAACTTCATAGACTTGATGCAGACACTGGGGTTCAAACCCCACTTCATAGCTCTGAACACAAATGTTAGGCTGACAATCCAATGAAGAACTTGAGGGAATGCTACCCTGTTAGAGGTACTTACTTTAAAATTGACAGGAAGTATGGAGGCTCTGTGTAGCTGCTCAGCTGGATGTAAAAGATCCCATGGGACTGTTTTGAGGAAGAGCATGGAAGTTTTCTCAGTGTCCAGTGTTTGCTGTTCAATTGACATTGACACGGTTCAGACCTCAGACCTAGCAATTTGACTTTATTTATGTTTAGTACTCTACTTTCAGACTTAAATACAAAGTTAATGTGAAATTCCATTATTCCGTTGTGGTCACTCTTCCCCAGGGATTCCTTACTGTGAAATTATTCCTGTCTTATTATACAAAGCAAGGTTCTTCTTGGTCAGTTCCACAGCATATTGTTTTAGGAAACTGTTAGATACCTTCCTTATACTTTGCTTCCATTCTGTTTTTACCTATTTGAATAGTTCAGTCCATGCAAGGGTGGTTATTATATTGCCTTTGTTACAGGCACCTCATTTCACCTGTCTTTGTGAAATACCAAGAGCTCTGATGGCTATTTCCCCTAGCTGTAGCATCCTAGATCCTGTTCTGAATGCTTTAATGTTAACTTGGTTTCATAATTTGCTGCTGCACTATTGCTTTTGAATATTTTGTCACACTCCACTTTACCCGAATCACTTCAATGCTCTGCTGTCTTCACTGTTCTCTCGTGATTTCTCTCCACTGGAATCCTCTCCATGCCCTGTCTACAGCCTTAGTTATACAAGTCACCGGGAAACTGCTTCCACTTGATAAATGTGGCACATCATCTGCACTGGCATCTATATCCAACCTTGTTTAATTAATTTAGTTCATTAGAAAGTGATCAATGTATACACCGATATCAACAACATAGATTTAAATAAGGGGGATATGGTCCTAAAAGCAGAATATTCAGAGTTAGGAACCAAGTTAAAAAGTACAATCTCAAAGGTAATAATCTCAGGAATGCTACCAGTATCCCATGCTAGTTAGAGTAGAAATAGCAGGATATATCAGATGAATAGGTGGCTGAAAAGATGGTGCAAGGGGGAGAGGTTTCAGATTTCTGTAATCTTGGGACTGGTTCTGGAGCAGGAGGGGCCAGTACAAGCTGGACAAGACACCTGGGCAGGACTGGAACTGATGTCCCGGTATTTGGTAGACTGATTGTGGAGGGTTTAAATGAAAATGGCAGGGTGTTGGGGACCTATACAATGAGCCGGAAGGGATGGAAGTCAGGGCAAAAGCAAAAGGCAGAGTGAAAATAAGAAAAGTGATGGGCAGAGAATCCAAGGGCATGAATCAGACAGGATCACAGTGCAAACTAATGAAAATGGGACAAAGAATGTTAAAAAGACCTGCCTTAAGGCCTTGTCTTAACGTGTGAAGCATACATAATAAAATGGATGAATTAATCGCACAAATAAACAGGGTACAGTTGGGATTCCTGTGGCTTCAGTGTGACCCAGGGATGGGAACAGAATATCCAGGGGTATATACTGTTTAGGTAGGATAGACAAAAAGGAAAAGGAGGTGGAGTGGCAAAGCAGATTAGCTTCAGTGAGGTAAAATCTGTGTGAGTAGAGCTTAGAAACACCAAGAGGCAGAAAATGATAGTTGGGGTGTATATAGAACCTCAAATTGTAGTGCTAATGTTGGAGATGGCATTAAACAGGAAATGAGACATGCAAGCATTAAAGCTACAGCTGTAATTATGGGTGACAATCTGAATATGGATTAGGCAGATCAGAACTAACAGTACCTCAGAGGAGGATTTTCTGGATCCATATGTTTAAAAGTCAGCTAGAGAATAGGCTGCAAAAACAGAAGTTGCTGGAAAAGCTCAGCAGGTCTGGCAGCATCTGTGAAGATCTGCTGTTCTTTTGGTTTTTATTTTATAGAGAATAGGCTATTCTACACTGGGTATTGTGTACTGAGAAGGGAATAATTGGAAATCTCTGAAACCTTTAGAAAAAGTGACCATTATAGGATAGAATTCTTCATTAAGATGGAGAATGACATTGATGCTGAGACTTGGGTCTTGAATCTAAATAAAGGAAACAATGATAGTATGAGGGATGAGCGAGCTATGATTTGGGGAACATTACTTAAAGGGATGACAGTGGGTAGACAATGGCAAACACTTAGAGTGCATGGAGAGGCTGTAACAATTGTTCATTCCTGTCTGGCACAAAAAGCAAAAAGGACCATGGCTAACAAGGGAATTTATGGACAATATTAGATCCAAGGAAGGGGCACATAAATTGGCCAAAAACAGCAGCAAACCTGAGGATTGGAAACAGTTTAAATTTCAGTAAAGGGGGACAAAGGGAGTGATTGAGAGCAGGAAAATAAAAGTATGAGAGTAAGATTGTGGAACGTGAAATCTGATTGTAATTGTTCTATAGGTATATGAAAAGAAAAAGATTAGCGAAGACAAATGCAAATCCTTTTACAATCAAACTGAGATGGTTATACTGCAGAACAAAGATGGCAGACTAATTAAATACATATTTTGATTCTGTCTTCACAAAAGAGAATACTAATAACATCAGGAATCTTGGGAAATATAGGGTTTAGAGAGAGGGAAGAACTGAAGGAAATCAGTATTAGCAGGGAAATGTTTTTTGGGAAAATAGGTGGAATTAAAGGCTGATAAATCCCAAAATCTGTATCCCAGTGTAATTAAGGAAGTATCTTAGAAATAATGGATGCATTGATGATCATTGCCAAGATTCTATAGATTCTGGAACAGTTCCCACAGATAGGTGGATTGCTAATGTTTTTTTAAAAGGAGATAGAGAGAAAACAGGGAATTATTGATCGGTTAGCCTGATACCGGTAGTAGGGAAAATGGTGGGGTCCATTACAAAAGATTTAAGAGCAGAGCACTTGGAAAACAGTGACAGGATTGGACATAGCATGGAGTTATGAAAGGGAAATCATGCTTGACATGTCTGGAATTTTTTGAGGATATAACTAGCAGAGTTGATAAGGGGAAACCGGCAGATTTGGTTTACTCGATTTTCAGAAGGTTTTCAATAAGATCCCACTTGAGAGATTAGAATGTAAAATTAAAGCACAAGGGATTGTACTGACATGGATAGAAAACTGGTTAGCACACAGGAAAATAAGGTGTAGGAATAAATGGGTTGTCTTCTAATAGTGACTAGTGGGGTTCCACAGGGATCAGTGATTGGACTCCAGCTATTCACAAAATATATTAATCATTTTGAGGAAACCAAATGTGATATCTACAAGTTTTCAGACAATACAAAGCTGAGTGGGAGAGTGAACTATGAGGAGGATGCAGAAATGTTTCAGTGTGATTTGGACAAGCTGAATGAGTGGATAAATGCACAGCAGATGAAGTATAATGTGGATAAATGTGAGATTATCCACTTTTATAGCAAGAACAGGAAGGCATTATTATCTGAATGGTAATAGATTGGAAATGGGAGGTGCAATGAGACCTGGGTATCCTTTTGCACCAGTTGCTGAAAGTAAGCATGCAGGTGCAGCAGGCAGTGAAGGTGGCAAATGGTATGTTGGCCTTCATAGCAGGAAGCATAATGTCTTGCTCCAGTTGTCCACGGCCTTGGTGAGACCACACCTGGAGTATTGTGCAGTTTTAGTCTCCTTATTTGAGGAAGGATGTTCTGGCTATGGAGGGAGTGGAACCAAGGTTTACCAGGCTGATTGCTGGGATTATAGGACTAATGAATGAAGAGATACTGGATTGGTTAGGATTCTTATCACTGGAGTTTAGAAGAATGAAGCAAGAAACTCACAGGAGCCTATAAAATTCTAATCGGGCTAGGTGGGGTAAATGCAGGCAGGGTGTTCACGATGACCAGGTAATCCAGAACAAGGATATCTAGTAGGCAGTTTTTAGGACTGAGATGAGGAGAAGTGTTTTCACCCAGAGAGTGGTGAGCCTGTGGAATTGTCTGCCACAGAAAGTGATCGAGGCCAAAGCATTGAGTGATCAAAGGGTATGGAAAGCAGGAACAAGGTACTGAGCTGGATGATCAGCTATGATCATATTGAATGGTGGAGCAGAGTTGAATGGCTGACTCTTGCTCCTATTTTCTATGATTCATTTATGCATTTAATTAGTTAATTGATTTTAGTCTTTTGACTAAATGATCTAGTTTACGTCCTAAATGGATTACATTTGCTTGTAACATAAATCCACTAGAGAATTAAAGCCAAAAGCAGCAGCTGCTTCCCTCTATGCATCAAATCCTACTTTCACCAAAGGTGAATATTTTAAACTGTTTACAATACCCAGTTTCCTTTGCACCTTACTTCAACATCACACTTTTGAATCACACTTCATGCTCACTGTAGTTCGTCGCAATTTAGAGAATCACTCACAGTTTACTGATACTTAATAACCACTGACACACTTTTGCAAACTCATTTACAGTTTCTTTTGCAGTTTGTGAAGCTCTAAGTGAAATTTAGAAAGTTAGTTCCTTTAGAAGATTCACCTACAGACACTAAGCAGAGAGCTGCACTTGCACCAAGCACCCCTTTTCATTTAAACAACAAAACCTAAAAACTGCAGATGCTGTAAATCAGAAACAAAATCAGAAATTGCTGAAAAAATTAGCAGGTCTGGCAGTATATGTGGAGCGAAAGCAATTAACGTTTCGGGTCCAGTGACCCTTCTTCAAAATGTCCTTGTGCTGAGGGTTGGGGGATGTGTGGGTCAAAGGTCCATCAAGATCATAGTGTGACAGATCCTAAGCATTGTTTTATGTTTTTTTTTGAAGCGTTCATCCTCACCACTTAATTCCATTTGGTCTCGCTCATAACTTCTGGGAGATGGGAGAGATGGGGCCCTGTGGCCCGTGTACTGAGATACACTATGACCATGGAGTAGGGAAAGGAGCAGCAGCACAGGTCAACACAGGCAATCCTCAGCTGGTGGAGATCTGGAACCTGGTATTCATGCAGTACAGCAGGTCAGTGTGGTGGGCATTGTGAATTTCTGACTGGGGTCGGGGGGCATGGATGTAATGGGTTTGAACAGGGAGGGGATTGTGGTGGTATTCAGGGCAGGGTAACGGGGAGGTGGGGTGTTGTGGTATGAAGGTGTTACTCCTGGACTGATGCAATGGTGAAAAGAGAGCGCTATTCTGTATCGAACCCTATGCTGTGTCTGCTGTGGGAGTGTTTACTGAGGACAGTGTAGGAAAAGCTTTGTTCTGTATCTGACACCATGCTGTACTTCCTTGGAGTGTTTGGTGGAGACAGTGTAGAAGGAACTTTACTTTCAATTTAACAAGAATAGAAGAAGCTTTTCTGTATCTAATCCCATGCTATCCCTGTCCTGGGACTGTTTGGGAACGGTGTCGAGGGAGATTTACTTTTATTTTGAGTGCATTGGAGGCTTTAATTTTAGTTTAAAAGAATAGAGGGAGATTTTCTTTGTATTTAACCCTGTATTGTCCCTGTCCTGGGAGTGTTTGATGGAGACAGTATAGAGGGAGTTTCTCTCTATAGCTAACCCTGGGGTTCACTTCTCTACACAGTGTAGGGGGAATGTTTGCAGTGTTGGGTCGTCCTTATTGGGTATTTTTCTCTCCTGTAGGGAAGCTGATGGCAGTCTTCACTCTCTGCCACAGCGTAGTGTTGACACTGGCATGGGATTTGAACGATTGGTTGCAGTTCTGCAAGGGAAAGAATCCAATTATGACACTGACCTCTTCACTCCCATTCTAGATGCCATTCACAGGGTAAGAATGGGTGCTGCCACCTACCTTGTTGGGCAAGGGGCATTTCTGGGATGTTGGAGGGGGTGGCTTTGACAGGGCTGGGCACTGTTCCTGCGACAGGTTGCTGGGATGTTGGGTTACCTGCAATATGGGTGAATCTGGTATGTTGAAGAGGCTTACTATTGGTACTGTCTGGTTTGGATATTTCTCCAGGGATCGAAAGCCCCTCCGTACCAAGGTTTGGTGGGTGACATGGATCCTAATATGGTAGACAGGGCATATCGTGTGCTGGCTGATCATATCCGCGCTCTCACCATCTGTATTGCTGACGGCCTCTATCCAGGAATGACTGGAGCTGCGTGAGTCCTCCCATTTGAACCTACGCCTTGTAGATAACGTGCGAGTGGAGCAAAGAGAAGGGAGGCTGCAACGTGAGGGGAGTTTGCATGCTAATGGGAAGAGTCTTTGACATGGAACCAGTAGAATGGGTACAGGGCTGTAACAAGAAATGTGGAGAGGTGGCATTGGAGTACTAAGGTAGCAGTTATTGCCGGGGAGCTGTTACCATTTTGAGGGGGTGGGATTTTGCTTATTGGGTTGGGCGTTGAGTGGATGGAGGCAAGGTATGGGAGGCCGAATGTGATAGAGAAAGGAGAGGTTGTGGTTGAGGGATTAAATCTTCTCTGATTGGAGCCTGTATAATGATCCCCTGATGGATTTATTGTTGATTCCCAGGCTGGTTTTACGTCGAATTCTCCGCCGAGCTGTGAGGTATTCTGTGGAGGTTTTGAAGGCCCCTCCTGGCTTTCTGGCAGGTTTGGTGCCAACGGTCGTGGAGATTCTGGTGAGAATATTGTCAATCTCTGTGCAGGGGTGGAGGTGATGAATTAACCAGCTGAGGGTGAGACAACCTGGATAAAGATCAATCTAACCTTCCTGTGAAGGGTGGTTGTGCATCAGGGAGATGAGCAAGTTAATATTGCTTAGAGTTTAGTCACCAAACGTTGTCTGAATGTGGTATTTTTAAAAATTCATTCACGGGATGAGGGCGTCGCTGATCAGGCAGCATTTGTTGCCCATCCCTAATTGCCCAGAGGGCAGTTAAGAGTCAACCACATTGCTGTGGGTCTGGAGTCACATATAGGCCAGACCAGGTAAGGATGGCAGTTTCCTTCCCTGAAAGACATTGGTGAACTAGATGGGTTTTTCCTGACGACTGACAATGGATTCGTGGTCGTCATTAGATTCTTAATTCCAGATATTTTATTGAATTCAAATGCCACCATCTGCTGTGGCAGGATTCGAACCCGGGTCCCCAGAATGGTAATCTGCGTTCAAGGTTTTTGAGAAGATGTGTAGCTCAGGTTGTTGATGCGGTTGTTGACTTGCTCGCCAAGCTGGTAAGTTTGTTTGCAGATGTTTCGTCACCCCACTACTAGGTGTTCTGTCCCGCTTGCTATTTGTGTCTCGGTTTGCTGGCATCACTTCCGGATTTGTTCCTTAGTGGTTGGTATATGGGGTGCAGCTTTACATGTTTGTTGAGTGCCAGGCCTCCAGGAATTCTCACGCATGTCTTTAGTTGGCTTGTCCTAGGATGGCTACTTTGTCCCAGTCAAATTGGTGTCCCTCTTTGTCCACGTGTATTGAAATGAGTCATGTCTCTTGGTAGCTGGTGTTCGTGAATCCTGATGGCTAGTTTCCTTTCAGTTTGCCCTATGTAATGTTTTCGGCAGTTTTTGCGTGGTATCTTGTAAATAACACTAGTTCTGTTAGTTGGTGTTATTGGATCCTTTATTCTCGTCAGTAGCTTTCGTAGTGTAGCTGTCGGTTTGTGGGCTACCATGATTCCTAGGGGCGGAGTAATCTGGTGGTCATCTCAGATAGGTCCTTAATATATGGTAAGGTGACTAGTGTCTCTGGGCATGTTGCGTTATCCTTGTTGTGGTCTGTTGTGTAGGTATTGGCGGACTATGCTTTTCGGGTAACCGTTGTTTCTAAAACCGCTGTATAGATGTTCTTCCTCGGCTTTGAGCAGCTCTGGTGTGCTGCAGTGTGTTGCAGCTCACGGATCAGGTACTCAACTACAATAGCAATCATCCCAGTTCTCACAAACGGAGCTGCATCAAAACACTGTTCAAGTGAGCCACAACACACTGCAGCACCACGGAATTGCTCGAAGCTGAGGAAGAACATCTATACGGCGGTTTAGAAACAACGGTTACCTGAAAAGCGTAGTCTGCCAATACCGACACAACATGCCCAGAGACACTAGTCACCTGACCATACATTAAGGATATGTCTGAGATGACCACCAGATTACTCCGCCCCTAGGAATCATGGTAGTCCACAAACTGACAGCTACACTACGACAGCCACTGACGAGAACAAAGACGAAACATCTGCAAACAAACTTATCAGCTCCACGAGCAAGTCATCAACCGAACATTATGTGGGTGTCCGGATTAACAGTCCAGCAATAATACGACTAGGCCATTGCTTCCCCAATGTGATGTATCTCTAGGGGATATAAAGAGCAAAAACTGAAGCCATTGTCTTCTCCTGATTGAATGTCCCAATTCCCACCAGCCACAAGGGGCACACTGAATATGTTGTGGTTCTAGCACCATGTTTGTCCCTGCACCCCTCAAACATACCTCCTCTCATATATTCCTTAAAACCCACTTCTGACGAAGCTGCTGCTCATCTGACCTCATGCAGCCTTTCATACTCTGTGTCCAATTCTTTTTAAAGTTCCCATAAATCTCCTTGAGATTTGAAATGATATTAACTGCAGAAACAGACATTGTTCAGGAACTGGAAGGTGGTGTGTTGTGGGAGGTGCTGAAGAACATGCTGTGAAGGGACAAGAGCACAAGGGCAATGGAACCATGAGTGAGTAGATGGGAAAATAGGCAGGGAAAGACTCCAGATTAATCCAGGAGCAGTGCAGGTACCAGTCTATCTAGACGGACTCTAGGATTAATCTGGGAACTGTACAGTTGGAGCAGTCTAACCAGAGAGAGAGTCTAGGATTTATCAGACTAACAGGAGACAATCTCCAGGATTAATCCAGAGATCTGTTCCAAGAGTGGATCTGTGTGACTCTTGGCTTTCTGCCTTTTCAGGGAGATGCCTACCCAGAGTTAAAGCAAGACCCATGCCAGGTGAGCAGAAAAGTCTATTATAGAAATTGGGGGCACCATCTTGTCATCCACCCCAACCTCTCCCCACTCCATCCGTCATGTCATCAACTGGTTGGCACCTGGGGATGTCCTGTGCTTGTCCCTTCCCCCGTCACATGGCTTCCTGTGCTGTCCTTCCTGCTTTCCACTGCACAAATATCCTTGACGTGACACAGTCATGGTCATGCAGCACAGCAGAGGCCCTTTGGCCCATCAAGCCTGCACCAACAAGATGCTATTTTAAGTATACACTAACCCTGCTTTCAATTATGACATTTCAAGTGCTCATCCAAGTACTTTTGAAAAATTGAGAGGTTTCCTGGCTCTACTATCCTCTCAGATCCTCTGGCTGAAAGCAACTTTCCTCAGTAAACCTTGTGCCCTATACCATAAAACTATGTTCCCTTGTTATTGACCGTTAAACTAAGGGGAATAGCTGATTCCTATGTCCCTGCCTCAGATCCCCCCATAGCCTTCTTTGCTCTAAAGAAAACAACCTGAACCTATGCAGCCTCTTTCCTTACCTAAACTGCTCCATTCCAGGCAACATCCTGATGAATCTCCTCTGTAACCCCTCCAGTGCAATCACAGCTTTCCTATAATGAAGAAACCAGAACTGTGCACAGTTTTCCAGCTGTAACTTAGCCAAAGTTTTGTACAGCTCCAATGTAACTTACTTGCTCTTATAATCTGTGCCATGATTGATAAAGACAAGTGTCCAGTTTGCCACCTTTGTCACCCTATTAACCTTGCCACATGACCTCTGACTTGTTCCTTTTTCAGATCATGGACACAATTAATGAGAATGAAGCTGCCTTTCTCTCCTCCTTGCACCGTGGACGACGTATCATTGATAGAACTTTGCAGAAAATGGACAATTCACAGAGCTTCCCAGGTACTGGGGATGTGGATAGGCATTCCTTGTATATTGAGGTGGGCTCCTTTAGTCTTACTTCACAACCCTTCAATCTATGTCTCATGGACCGGCCTGGTTTCCTCTAATCCACCTACCCGCATCGAATCCATGAAGAGGGAGTATTATGTGGGTAAATGACATCTAGTGTGCCTCAACAAGAAGAAATACATTTTAAATGGAGAGAGGTTACGGAAGTCAAAGGTACAGAGGGATCTTTGAGTGTTCTGGTATAGAATCACAAAGTTCCGACGCCAAGTAAGTGATTAGGATGGCAAATGGAATGTGGTTGTTTGTTATGAAGGAATATGAAATAAAGCAGGCTTTACTGCAGCTGTACAGAACGTTGGTGAGACCACATCTGGAGTACTGTGTGTAGTTTGGGTGTGACATTGTTTTGAAAAAACTGTGATTGTTTTAGAAGCAGCTCGGCAATGTTTACTTGACTTATTCTGGGATGAAGGACTGATTTTATGAAGAAAAGTCGAATAGATTAAGTGCATGCCCATTGGAGATTAGGGGAATGATGAGAGATGATCTGATATAAGATTTTAAAGGGAGCTGGATAGTGTGGATACCTGGAGGATATTTTGAGGGAGGCCCCAATACAACATAAGATAGAGACCATAAGATATAGGAGCAGATGTATGCTGTTCGGACATTCAAATCTACCATGCTTCACCATTTAATGAGATCATGGTTGATCTGATAATCCTCAATTCCACATTGCTGCCTTTTCCACATAACCTTTACTAATTAAAAATCTGAATACAACGGAAATTATTCTAAGGTGAATTTTTACAAAAAAAGGTGTAAAATTTTATCAGTGGCCATACCACAAAGCTAAATTAATCACAAGCCATAAATAAGAAAAAAAGTAAAAGTTCCTCACAGTTAAATTAATGGCTCGTGCATTCGAGGTCTGTGGAAAACCAGGCCAAAACCGCCACGCCGTGCCGAGATGGCCACACAGGGCCTGGCCGTTGGAAGACCTGGAAGTCCCCTTTGAAGCCCAGACAAGACCTCCATGTTGGGACTTGACCTTCACCGAGCCACTGGAATACCTGGAAGCCATAGGCTTCCATGCTAGGATACGAACAGCACTCCAGGCCGAGACCGCCCCTCCTGGACAAGACAGCAACGTGGAGAGATGCACAGCCAGGTGCCAGAACTATGCCGCCATTCTGGGTGGTTGGAAGCCACCTCATTGCTGGGCCTAGTCCAGGAGAAGGTGCCTTATGCCAAAGTTTTTTAAAAAAAAAATGATAAGGTACCATAATAAATGGAAGCATTAAAAAAAAATTCATAGAAAGAATGAAAAAGCAAAGCAGGCAGAATTGACGAGATCCAGGCTCCCTGAGAAGCCCACGCGTTGCACTTCTACTTTGTCGCCATCTTGGATGTTTGTCTCAGCCTTGAATATGCAGCCCTCTGCGGTAAAGAATTCTACAGATTCACTACCCTCTGCAAGAAGAAATTCCTCCTCATCTCTGTCTTAAATGGGTGATCCTTACTCTGAGATTATACCCTCTGGTCCTAGACTGTTCCATAGGTGAAACAACCTTTCCGCATCAATCCTGTCAATTCCCGTCAGAATCTTGTATGTTCCAATAAGGTCACCTCATTCTTCTAAATCCCAATTAAAAGAGGCCCAACTTACTCCACCTTTCTTCAAGAGACAGTCCCTCCATACCCAAGATTAACTTAGTTTACCTCTCTGGATTGCACACTGTCACATTAGCATGCTAGAAATCAAGCCCTGCTATTCCTGTAGTTATCACAAAAGTTTTCAGATTTTTAAAAGTGTGCAAAGTTCCTAGTTTACCTATCTTTTAGACTCGGACTGACAGAAAGTAAGTATGGTGCAGTTCCTGTACTTAAGAAAATGATTATTTATTGCAAGTAAATAACTCTAGCTGAAGGTAACAATTATGAACATTTGACATAAAACTCTACTCATTAAAACTCTGATTCCCTTATAAGCACCGCCTTACGTGCATAGACAGAAAAAAAAATACATGAACTGTTATGGACGGAATAAAAACCAAGAAAGCAGTTCAGTGCTGTCTGTTCACAGGATATGTTGAGATCAGCCTTGTGCTTGTCAGAATGCTACTTCTCAATCTCACTTCTACAGTTTATAGAGTCATAGAGTCCTACAGCACGGAATCAGGCCCTTTGGTCCAACTCATCTACGCTGACCAGACATCCCAATGTGACCTAGACCCATTTGTCAGATGCTTTCATTGGTTTGCAGGAAGCAGTGTGACGGCGGTGGAGGATTACACTTATAAAGCATTTCTGACCTTATTAATTACAAGTCACAGCTTCCAGCAGCTGCTGAAGGAAGAATAAACTGGTTCGCCTCACCTCCCCCCCCGCCCCCGACTGGGGACAAAGAGTTGGCAGGCAGGATTCAGGCAAGTGGTAGGCATTAATTCAGCCAAAAAACTGGTTAATGTAGAAAAACAGCCAAAGGATCTCCCCTGAATCTGGTCTCGATGTGAGAACACGATTATTCCCTTAACCTTTGGCTCAGATTGGAAGAGAGATCAATAACACACACTGATTTTTACAGTGAAAATACAGCATTTTCACACATTGCGCTACAATAATCACACACAGGTGGTCACTGTCCTTCCCCTTATTCCATATACCCAATCCTGTGAAACACCTAATCAATGATGAGCATTTCTATGGATAGCCCCAGGTTCCCATGATTTCATGGTGTTTTACGGACATTGTAATTGCCAGGCCTTGGGATCTTTCTATGCATCCTAGGAATTAGCATCTCAAAGTTACCGGTTATACTCCTTCTGGTCTGTCCCAGACTTTCTTTTCTGTAAGGACTGCTTGAATTCTGTTATTCATTGTAACCCATGTGCTAGCTTTATCAAATTCTGTTATTCCTCTTATATTTTCCACCGTCCCAATTTTACATATACACACCTATATATGTTGTATAAAAGACAGTTGGTTTTAACTAACTGCCATAAGTTCATAATATTAATTTGTTATAAAGTTATACAGCTATTTCTAATGTTAGCACTTTGTGATTAATAAGTTGCAACCAATCTGTCTTGTTCAGGGTGTACCAGGTATCTTTTTAGAAATAAGAGAAAACATTTCCTGAGACTAATTAACTTTCGCATATATATTTAAATGTCTTTCCCCTAATGCTTCTATTATACTTTTGGTTACATGTGTATCAATACTTATCTTGAAATTTATCTCTGTGATAATCTGAAAATCTTTAACTAGAACCTATTTCTTAATATTGTGAATAACTTCAAAGAAACAACCAATTACTACAAAATAACTTTAGCTGTCGTTTTCGCAGCTGCTTAATGAGTTAGTTTAGCTGGTTCATGGGCTGAGATTTACGCTCCTTATTTTAACTGGTGCTGTTGGCAATTTGGGACAACATCCTTTTATTAATGAACTGGAATCCATCACTTGTCTACCATTAGGCATCCTCTTATCAAACTGTCTCGGACGGTTGCTTGTAGGGCCTCCTGTTCACCTTGGAGCAGCGCTGTTCAAAGGTACCATTTTGTTTCACTTAAATGCTAGAGCAGGCTGTTTTATTCTGGTTACCTTTTGTCGGCCATTTTGTCTTTCAAACGTGGGCTGCCCTTACATGACAGTTATTGTATTTATTTCCTCTTACTGTTTCACCCCTTGATTGCTTCAGTACTTTCGAAATATTATTAGTGTCCTCAATCGTGAAGACTGCTACAACTCCTCTGTTATTTCCTGGTTCCCCAGCCGCTGCCTCTAACAGCCTGTATTCACCTTGGTTTCTCTCTTCCTTTTTATATATTTAAACAAGCACATGCCATCCATTTTGATGTCACTTGCTAATTTACGCTCAAAGTTGATTTCCCCCCGTCTTGTTCTTTGATCATCTTGTGTGGTTTTAAAACTTTCCCAATCCTTTTGCTTCCATTAATCTTTTCTACATTGCTTTTTTTTTCATTTTGATAGTATGCTTAACTTCTTTGGTTAACCATGGTTGGTTTATCCCCTTCCTGGAATCCCCCTTCCTCACTAGGATATATCTTTGTTGCAAGTCATGAACTGTAGCCTGAAATGTCTGCTTGTTTTTGTTGATTTTTTTTTTGTTAATCTTCTTAAATTGTCATTATTCACATTTAGTACAGTTTCCAAATTCCAAGTTCCTCCCTCTCAAATCGAATGCTAAAATTTACCATGTTACGATCACTGTTTCTCAGGGGATCTTTTATTCTGACATCATTCATTGAAGCATTTTATTAATTATACATAAAAATTGTCTGATCCCTGGTTGGATTCACAAAAAGTGTCCCGAATACTGTCTATGAATGCTTCCTCTGCCAATTTGATTTTCACAATCTACATAAGGACTAAAGTCACTCCTGATTAATATACTGGCTTTGTCAATCTGGTATCGATCTAATACTCAAGGAATTTTCTAGGAAAAGGGAGAAGAAAAACAGTGGAGACCTAAACACAAAGTGAAGACTGACTTTTACTTTAAAGATTAGAAATGTACACCAGACCCACTCACCAATTAGCTTCTTTCCCTGCACTCGCATCACATGCTGTGGTCCCACTTAGCTCTGGTGAGTTTGCTTCTTGCAGTAAACTCGAGTTAAAACACCCCTATCCCCTTTAGCACTAAATTTCCTTTTTGATTCAAATTTCTAGTTGTAGTCATTCAAATTTCACTTGAGTTTTGTCTCACTCAGCTGAATTCCCACCCTGCTGCAGTCCCATAGTAACTGTGCTCCTTACAATAATGCAGTGAGTGGTGGATGAGGCATGATGTTGGATCTCATCCACGGGTTATGCCCTGTTTCTGTTGATGGTTCAGTGACTTCTCTGGAGGCAGCAAGGACATAGATTTGCACCGAGGTCTTCCAGATGTGGTTGGTCACCTTCTCACAGCCCAGATTCATGCATCAGGACTAGAAAGCTAATCAGGTTCGGACTGGTTATCTGGAAAATGAGCACTGACTTTGATTGGGATGGCGCAATTGTAGATGTGGAACGATCACAATCACCCTTCTCCATCTTTGCAGTGGATGTGGCCTGGTCTCTGCACAGGAACCTGGGCTTCCCCCTCGATCTGGTTAGCCTCATGCTAGAAGAAAAGGCGGTGATCATGGACATGGAAGCCTTGGGACAGTTGGCAAAGGAAGAGGCAGAGGTGAGGTTTTAAGATGCTGGATGAGCTGCCCAGAAGCTACTGGAGTGATGTGTCAGTCTAGCCTATGTGGCTTCCCCTACCCCGCCGCTTGATCCCTCAAGACTCTCAGCTCCAGAACCCTCTGGAGATAACGGAGCTCTCTAATTCTTGTTTCTTACGCATCCTGGATTTGAATCATTTCACCATTGGTGGCTACACCGTCAGTTGTCCGAGTTTGGTTTGATTTATTACTGTCACGTGTACCAAGGTACAGTGAAAAGTGTTGTTTTGTGTGCTTTACAGGCAGACCGTACTATAATGCATTAGAGTAACAACAGAGTGCAGGATACCGTGTTATGGCTCTCAGCGTGGGATTCCCTCCCTACACCTCGCTGCGTCTTTACCTCACTTCCCTCAATTAAGAACTTCGACTGTTTATCAAAGTGATTAGCTGAGCCAGAATTGCCTTATTTGTTTTTTTTTAATCAAACATTGTTTATATGCCTGAGAAACACCATATACAGACATAAAGAACAGGAGCAACAGTAGATCACTTGACCCCTGAAGCTCGTTCTTCCATTGTACAATATGACGGCTGATTTGTCACAGGCCTCTTTCATGCCAGTTCCTCTCAGCCCTCAACTCCCCCAGTGTTTCAAAAATCTATCTACCTTGTCTCTAAATACTTTCCTTGATCTAGCCTCTACAACTCTGGTCTGAGAAGAGCATTCCAGACATTCGCTAACTTCTGGGAGAAGAAATTCCTTCACACCTCAGTTTTAAATGAGTGTCCTCTTGTTCTGTAACCATGTCCTCCATTCCAAGATTCCACCACTAGTGAAAGCATCACCTCACCATCTACCCTCTGAAGCTCCCTCAGAATCTTTTATGTTTCAATAGGATCTTCCCCCCACCCTCATTTTCCTAAATTCTAGTGAATAAAGGCCATTCTTATTCATTCTTGATAACTCAACCTTTTCATCCCAGGAGATAACAAGAATTGCAGATGCTGGAAGTCAGAGTTGGTACAGTGTGGAGCTGGAGGAACACAGCATGTCAGGCAGCATCAGAGGAGCAGGAAAGTTGATGTTTCGGGTCAGGACCTGATAAAGGTCCTGATGAAGCCTCCCAACCCAAAACGTTGACTTTCCAGTTCCTCTGCCTCCTGACCTGCTGTGTTCCTCTGGCTCCATACTATATTGACCCTTTCATCCCAGGAGTCAGTGCAATGAATTGCTCTTGAACTGCCTCCATTGCTATTATATCCTTTCTTAAATACAGGTATCAAAACTACACAGTACTCCAGGTGCAGCCTCAGGAACACCCTGTACAGTTGTAATAACATTTCCCTGTTTGCAAAATTGATCCCCTAGCAGAAGGTGGCAAAATTGCAATATATGTTCATGTTGTTGATGTTGTTCAGGGTCGCTTGTGAAGTGTGAGCAAGGCACAGCATTCTACTGTATGCTGTTTTCATCTGGAGCATAGTCGTGGTCTCTTTCTGTCTTGTCTGCTCTCTCTTCCCCTCCCTCCCTCTCTCTGCTTGAACCGCATGTATCAAGGTTGGCTCATTTCAACTGGATCAGTGACAGTGATCTGGGTTGGAGAAGAAGGGATGGTATGTGATAGATAGATATGGCTCCTTTTTCTCATTTGTTCTTCAGATGTAGATATTGCTGGCTGGGCCAGCATTTATTACCCAACCCTGATTGCCCTGAGACTGTGGTGCTAAGCTGTGCCTTGAATTGCTGCAGCTCACTTGGTCTGAGTACATAGACAATGTTTTAGGAGGGAGTTCCAGGACTTTGACTCGTGACCTCATACTGGCTTCACAGACAAGGGAGGAGGAGGCATTGAAACATAAAAGTTAAGTTTCAAGAAATTCTTGGGTTGGATTTTCTGTACATGAGCTGTTCTGAGCTCTCTCGTGAGATATTGTAGTTTGATAGATTTGTTTCTGTCTTTGCAGCGTCTCAGACCATTGCCCCAGTCTGATTTGCAACCGGACAGAGTGCCGGGTGTACAAGACATAAGCGAACTCCAGAGGACTGGAGTGCCCAGAACAGACGATTCAGCAAAATACACCTACAAGCTTCAGGATGGCAAATATGGTAAACACATTTCCTGTGCCCCCTGGAGCTAGCTCTTAGGCATGCTCATCTCAACAAGTGCACAAAGAGGCAATTGGAATTGCAAGATTGTTTGTTTGACTGAGAACGAGAGGCTAGACACCAAGTGAAGCTCATTAGACACTGTCTCCGTCAGACACTTCCAGAACAGGTACAGCCGTGGGGTTAGATGCAAATTAAAGTTCCAAATGAACAAATGAAAAAGTACTGCACAGGAACAGGCCTTTCGGCCCTCCAAGCTTGTGCTGACCATCGTGCCCTAATTAATCTAAAAACAAACTTGCCGTATTTCGATCTGTATCCCTCTATTCTATCCCTATTCATGTACCCATCTAGATGCCTCTTAAATGTCTTCGATGTGCCCACTTCCTCCACCTCTTCTGGTAGTACATTTCTGGCTGCTACCACTCTCTGCAAGAAAAACTTCCCTCGCACATCTCCCTTAAACTTTCCCCCTCTGACCTTGAACCTGTGCCCCCTTGTAATTGAAACTTCAACCCTGGGAAAAAGCCTCTGACTATCCACCCTACCTATGCCTCTTATAATTTTGTAGATCTCTATCAGGTCTCCTCTCAGCCGCCGTCTTTCCAGTGAAAACAATCCTAGTCTTTTTAACCTTTTCTCATAGTTAATGCCCTGGAGACCAGGCAACATCCTGGTGAACCTTCTCTGTACTCTACACTGTCCCCATCAAACGCTCCCAGGACATATACAGGGTTAGATGCAAATTAAATCTCCCTCTACACTCTCAAATTGAAACTAAAAGCCTTTACTCGTTTAAACTGAAAGTAAAGCTCTCGCAACACAATCCCCATCCACACTCCAGGACAGTCCCAGCACAGGGTTGGATACCAGATTAAGCTCTATATACACTGTCCCAATCAAACTGAGACAGAGACAGCATGGTGTTCAATACAAAGTAAAGCACTCTCTACATGTCTCCATCAATCCTGGACAGGGACAGCAAGGGATAGATACAGCATGGAGCTCCTTCTGTTCTTTTCAACAGCAAGTAAATTTCTCTATCCTCGTTTAAACTGAAAATAAAATGCCCTTGACAATGCCGCCCTCAGACTCCCAGGACAGGGATGGCATGGGGGTAGATGCAGAGAAAAGCTCTCTCTACTCTTTTAAACACAAAGTAAAGCATTCTCTACCGCATCCCCATATAACACTTGCAGAACAGGGACAGCGCAGGGATAAACATAGAGTAAAGCTGCCTATACTGTTATAAAGTGAGAGTAAAGATCCTTTGACACTGTCCTCATCAATCACTCCCAAGACAGGGACAGCACAGTGTTAGATATAGAATAAAGCTCCCTCTGTGCTGTGTCCAGTAAACGCTGAAGCACAGGTACAACTTGGGATCAGATACAGAATAAACCACCCTCAACACTGCTCCCACAGATACAGCACGGGGTTAGATGCCCCCGCGTCATGCCCTCTGCGCTGAGCCCCAGTCTCTTTTAAACTAGTCTTCTAGTCTTTTAAACTAAAAGTAAATGGTAAGTAAAGCTCGCTGTCCCCATCAAATGCTATCAGAATGGTGCTGCACAGGGTTAGATACAGAGTAAAGCTACTTCTAAACTGTCCCCATCAAACACTGCCAGGACGTGTATAGCAAAGGGTAAGACACACTGATCTCCCCATACTGTCCCCATCAAAAAAAATCTCCTGGGACAGTGACAGCATGGAATTAGATAAAGAGTAAATATTCCTCTGTGCTGTTGACATCAACGACTCCTAAGACAGGTACTGTAGGAGCGAGACACAGTGATGTTTGCTGTGATCCCAGGGGTGAAGTTGTTGGGTTTAGACTCTGCAATGAGTGTGAATCTATGTTTATAAAACAAAGAACTGTGGATCTCTTGGTTCTCACTTCACAAAGAAGAACTGGAAATCTGAAACAAAAACAGAAATTGCTGGAAACATTCAGCAGGTCTGGCAGCATCTGTGGAGAAAAAGAGTCAACATTTTGACAGAACAGTCACTGTACCGAAAGACCATGTGAGTTTCTGCAGTTTTGGTTTTTGTTTGTGAAACTGTGTGTGTTTGTTTTCCAGTATTTAGTCCCTGCCAGGCCACTGTAGTCGCATTGTATGATGACAACTCATTGGTGAAGGAGGTGGGGCAAAGTCAGACATGTGGTGTCATCCTGGACCGAACCAATTTCTACAGCGAGCAGGGTGGGCAGACCCATGACCTGGGTTATTTTGTCCGAGAGGGTCATCAGGCAAGTTTGGCTGCATGGTGTGGTTTCAGTGCTGACATCTGACCCTCTCCTCCAGCGGCACCCTCTGTTTCCCCCTGCCCTCAGCTGCTGACCATCAGGCCTGTTTCCCCTGCCCTCAGCTGCTGACCATCAGGCCTGTTTCCCCTACCCTCTGGCTGCTGACTGTCAGGGCTAGTGACGTGCCCTCCGCGCTGAGTCCCGGGCCCCCGTGATGCGCCCCCCGTGATGCGCCCCCCACAATGCGCCCTCCGCGCTGAGCCTCGAACTGTGGGAAGCCGGTGTCCTCGTTCTCAAGGGCTGACTGTGAGGTGAGAGGGAGCAGAGTTGTAATACTTGACATACACCTGCCTTGTGCCATAACTAGGAACTCTGCTCAATTCTGATTTTCTTCGTCAGGATGTTCTGCTACCAGTGGTGAATGTCCAGGCAGCTGGTGGCTTTGTGATTCACACCGTCAGTGTGCCAGAATCATTACACATTGGAGACAGACTCGACTTGTTTGTGAATGAGGTATTTAACTTAATGCTTTTGATGGGAAATTTGCTGGCCACTTACTGGACCATTGATTGGCATTCAGGGTGCCCCTATTATTATGTACTGTAGCATGTCAATGCTTGTGGCCCATTTTGTCTGTTCATTCTTATGATGTGGATGATAGTCTCTAGGCCAGTGTTTATTGCCAGACTTTAATTGCTCTAGAAACAATGGTGATGAACTACTGCCTTGGTGTCTTGCTGAGCCCTTTCAGAGGGCAGTGAAGAGTCAACCATGTTTCTGTGGTCTGGGGTTATATAGGTCAGACCAGGTAAGGCTGGCAGATTTCCTTTCCTCAACGACATCAGTTAACCAAATAGGTTTTTACGACAATTTGATAGTTTCACGATCATTCGGATTAGTTTTTTTTAAATTCCTAATTTATTAACTTTCTGCAGCACCCATGGTGGTATTTGAACTCATGATTCCACTGTCCTCTGAGTGACTATACTATAACATAACCACTGTTCTACTGTTTGACTGTAATGCTATTTTTTTAATCTGGTACTTTCCAAGGCCCGCCGTCTTGCCTGCATGGTGAAACACACAGCCACTCATCTGCTGAACTATGCCTTGCGCTGTGTGCTAGGAGATCAGACTGAGCAGAGAGGATCGCACATCACCGCTGATCGACTGCGCTTTGACTATAATATCAGGGTAGGAATCACTTTTAGCATCTTCACTGTCTATATAGTGTTGTGCCGCATCTAACCTTACTGTGGGGCGTTCTGTTTTCAAGTAATCAGCCTTTGTGTCATGTCCTTGGGCTCAGCGATCTCAGCTGGCAGAAAGAGAACTGGGACCATCGCTATCTCCTGAAGCTGTTCCATTGTGTAGTGCAGCTTTCCTGAGATTTCATTCCAATCTGTATCTCCTCTCACAGGAGGGAGAGAGGGCTTTATTGGACTGTGCACTTCACCTCACTACAAAGATGATTTTATCTACATTGCAAATGCGCCCGTCAGGATTCTGGTGTTGTTCTATACTAAACCCCACAGCCACAATTGAGGTATCACAGTAGTTTTGTTTCTGGTCTAGTTAGTGTGTTGACCCTGGCTAACAAAGGAATACATCAGATATAAAGCACAGAAAACATACCGGTCATACAGACACACCGAATTCTTAAAGTGCAGAAGGGAGCAATTGGCCCATCATGTCTATACTGATCGTCCAAATCATTTACTCACCTAATGCCATTCTCACACGCTTTTATATCTATTCATGGGATGTGGATGTCACTGAATGGGTCAGCATTTATTGCTCATCTGTCATTGCCCAGAGGGCAGCTGGGAGTCAACCACATTGCTTTCTGTCATGAGGCACAGACCAGGTAAGGATGGCAGCTTTCTGTCCTGAAGGCCATTAATGAGCCAGATGGATTGTTTGTGACAGTTGACAATGGTTATATGATTGTCATTAGGCCAGCTTCTTATTCCAGATTTTCTTTTACATTGAATTCAAATTTCACCAAATGCCATGATTGGATTTGTGTTCCCAGAACATTAGCCTGGGGTTCTGGATTACCAACCCAGCGATATTTCCACTACACCACTACCTTGTCTGTAATCCTACATTTTTTTCTTTTTCAGGTAACACTAATTACCTTTCCAGTGTTTCAATTGAACCTGCCTCAACCACACTGAGACATTGTGTTCCAGACTTTGATCTTTCTTTCCTCTCCCATGTTGCTTTTGTTATGGTTGCAGCTGATGGTATTACTGGAAAAGTCAGACTCCAAAGTGAAACAAAAACAGAAATTGCTGGAGAAACTCAGCAGGTCGGGCACCATTTGGAGAGAAAGCAGAGTCAACATTTTGGGCCCAGTGACTCAGTTCTGCTCTTTGTCCACAGATACTGCCAGACCTGTTGTTTTTCTCAAGCAATTTCTGTTTTTGTTTTTGTTGCAGATTTCGAACATTTGCAGTTCTTTGTTTTTTTTTCCCAAATTGAAACCTGGCTTGAAAGACCGTAAGTTTTATTTTTGTAGTTTGGTTACCATGGTGATTGGGCACTGAACGTATTCACAAGAGGTTGGCAATTTACTTTTGACAAAGGAATATAAGTCTACTACACAGAAGAACAAAACAAAGCTATTTGATAATTTAGAAAAATCTTAACACAAACAGCAAAAACAAAAATTCAACCAATATCCCAGCAACATAAATTTACAGATGTTCATATCCAGTGAAGCATTACTCCTGTCTTCACTTTAAGATTTACACTTGACTCTTTCTAATTTTGATGGCCCAGAGACGACTTTCCGATTCTGTTAGCCTGTACTACTTTTTAGTTTTCCTGAGCTGCAAACCTCTACAAAGTTCTCAAAATCTGAAGATTTTGACCAACTAAAATCTCCGTGTCTTGAGATTTTGGCAAACTAACTTGTCCTTCTGCTGCAGTTAGTGTTTTTCTCAACATTAACCTGATTCTGGCCTCTAATTGTCTTTCTGTGTAGGTCACGAAACTCAGCATTTTAAAAATTCACCAGTTAGCTCCACAGGAGGCATTTAAATAATCTGTTGAGCTCATTGTTCTATAATATTTTCTAATCTCTTAGAGAAAGCAAAGCAAGTAAAACATTGATGGTGGGGCCTTTACCGAACTGAAATGAAAATCTGTTTTGCCTGATTAAAAATTCAACATCCTCGATGATGATAATATAGTCTAAACCTTAAAGACATCATTGCTTCTTTTGCCAGTTGCCTTAAATTTGTGCCTTCTGATTCCCGATTCTTCTGCCAATGGAAATAGTTTCTTCCTACCTAGTCTGTCCATTCTCATGATTTTGAAAACCTCTATCAGATTTCCTCTCAACCTTCTCCTTTCTAAGGAAAACACTCACTTTCTCCAATCTATCCATGTATTGGAAATTCCATTTGGTCCAACCAATTATTAGCTGTGTTAAGCTGCACTGAGGCCTCCTCCATCATTTTTCATTCATATCTACTATTCTAGACCTCTCTTTCCTTCTCCATTATATACTTTCTCCTCAATCTGTCCATGACTGTATCAGTAGGAGTGGCCACTGCACTGTCCTTGTGGAGACAAAGTCCAGTCTTCACTTTGAGGATACCATCCATCATGTTATATGACAGGAACACCTTGCTGAATGGCAGAAACTTTGAACATACCTAATGACTCAAAGTTGTGCATCTGTGTAGTGTTATTGGCCATCAGTAGGAGAATTGTACTCCAACACAATTCGTAACCTTATGGTCCAGCATATCCCCCAGTTGATCATTACCATCAGCCCAAGCTTGTTGAAGATTACAGGAGGGAATACTAGGTGCACGAGTTTGTTGACAATGTTATCACATGGCATTTCCTCAACAACATTTATTCTCTGACCCACGGTGTGGCCAGAGCAGTCATCACACTCCTGACTTGTGCCTTCTCCACCCCGTGGTGGACAGGCTTGGGAGCCAAGATATGGATTACTCACTGCTAGTCTCTGATCTTCTCTCGTAGCCACAGTATTTATTTGGTTACTTCAATTCAGTTTGTGTTCAATGATAAGCCTCAGGATGTTGATAGCAGTGTTGATAACAGTGGGATTCAGTGATGGTACATCCATTGATTGTCAAGTGATGATCGTTAGATTGTCTCTTATTGGAAAAGATCATTGCCTGACGTTTTTGTGGAGCGATTGTTACTTGCCACTTCAGTCCAAGCCTGGATATTGTCCAAGTCTTGCTCAATTTGGACATGGGCTGCTTCAGTGTCTGAGCAATCGTGAATAGTGCTGAATATTGTGCAATCATCAGCAAAAAGCCTCAGTTCTGACCTTTTGATGAATGATAGGTCATTGATGAAGCACTACCCTGAGGAACTCCTGCAGAGATGTCCTGGAGCTGAGATGGCTGACCTTGAATAACCACATCAATTTTCCTACATGCCAGGTATTACTCCAAGCGGCAGTTTTCCTCTGATTCCCATTGACTCCTGTTTTGACACTCCTTTGAATGTGGCCTTGATGTCAAGAGCTGTCACTCTCACCTCACCTCTGGAATTCAGCTCTTTTGTCCATGTTTGATCCAAGGCTGTAATGAGATCAGGAGCTGAGTGGCCCTGGCGGAACCCAAACTGGGCTTCACTGGGCAGGTGCTGCTTGATAGCACTGTTACTGACACTTTCCATCACTTTACTGATGATCGAGAGGAGACTGATGGGGCGGTAATTGGCCGGGTTGTATTTGTCCCTGTTTGTGTTTGATGTACTTGGGCAATTTGCCACATTGTCAGATGCAAGTGTTGTAGCTGTACTAGAGCAGCTTGGCGAGGGGAGCGGCATGTTCTGGAGCAGAAGCCTTCAGTACTATTCCCGGAATGTTATCACGGCCCATAGCCTTTGCAGTATCCAGTGTCTCTAATCATTTCTTGATATCACATGTAGTGAATCAAATTGGCTGAAGACATAGTATCTGTAATGCTGGGGACCACTGGACGAGGCTGAGATGGATCATCCACTCGGCACTTCTGGTCGAAGATTGCTGCGAATGCCTTATCTTTTTTGCACTGATGTGCCGGACTCTTCCATCATTGAGGATGGGGATATTTGTAGAGTAGCCACCTCTAGTGGGTTGTTTAATTGTCCACCACCATTCACGACTGGATGTGGCAGGACTGCAGAGCTTAGATCTGATCTGTTGGTTGTGGGATCGCTTAACTCTGTCTCATTTTGTTGTTTATGCTGTTTGGTTTGCAAGTAGTCCTGATTTGTAACTTCTTCAGATTGACGCCTCATTTTTATGAACGTCTGGTTCTGACATGCTGTCCTGCACTCACTGCTGACCCAGGATTGATCTCCTGGCTTGATGGCAGTTGTAGAATGAGAGATATGCTGGGCCATAAGGTTACAGTTTGTTTTGTTGATGGCCCATAGCGCCTCATGGATGCCCAGTCTGGAGTTGTTAGATCTGTTCGAAGTCTGTCCTATTTAGCACGGTGATAGTGCCATATAACATTTTGGAGGGTATTCTCAATGTGAAGGTGGGACCTTGTCTCTACATGGACTGGGTAGTAGTTACTTTTACTAATACTGTCATGGACAAATTCATCTGCAGTTGGCAGATTAGTAAGGATGAGGTCAAGTATGGTTTTCCCTCTCGTTGGTTCCTTCACCACCTGTCGCAGACCCAGTTTGGGACTCAGCCAACACAATTATTATTATGATGATACAGTGCCACTTTTTGTAATGAATGCCAAAGTCACGCATCTAGAGTACATTCTGCGCCCTTGTTCCTGTAAGTATTCCTCAGCATAGAAGACCACTGATCCATCAGCCAAAGAGGACGGTACATGGTAATCAGCAGGAGGTTTCCTTCCCCATGTCTGGCCTGATGCCATTAGACTTTGTGAGAACTGGAGTCAACGTCGAGGACTCTCAGGGCACCTTCTGCCGACTGTACACCACTGTGCTGTCACCTCTGCTGGGTTTGCCCTTCCGGTGGGATTGGACATATCCGGGGAATGTGATAGTGTTGTTTGGGACGTTGTAAGGTACAATTCTGAGAGAATGACTTTATCAGGCTGTTGCTTGACTCATCTGTAAGCTCTTCCAGTTTTGGTGTGATGTGATATAGCATGTTGAATATGCTCAGGTCCTGGTTCAGTTTAACACATTGCCACCTTTGGTGTTGTTGCAGACTCCAGTCACTGGGCAGCAGCTAGAGACAGTGGAGGAGATTGTGCGAGATGTGATATGTCGTGATGAGTGTGTATACACAGCAGACGTCCCTTTAAATCAAGTCAACTGCATTAGAGGACTCAGGAGTATCGATGAGGTACAAAAGCAGGCATCTCCTTCCACCCTTTTCAACTATACAGGGCTCTCTCGGGGGAGCGTCCGTTAGTACAGGGCTCCCTCTTCGGAATTTCTATTGTGAGGTGAAGCGGTGACAGCACTTACCCATTTTAATATAATAGATTTTGCGATTTCTCCAGGGCTGGTTGGAGGCAGATGGCTCATCTCGATGCCCCCTTTCTAGCGACTTTAGCAGGATGTTCAGAAGCCTCTGGAAATATAATCATGCCATTTTAAATCCCAGCAAGGTTATCTATTTTTAACTTTTAAAATGAGTAGAACTTTAATATAGAAATCTAGTTTGGGATTTGTTTTCATTCCGTCTAGCCATGGCACCTTGTACCCTACTTCTGAGTTCATTTGTTCAGGTCTGTTCTTCTGACAAATCTGTCTGTATTGTATTATCCCTCTGAATTCTTAGAATTTCATCTGGAATGGAGGTTTACTGGATGAGGAAGTATCGGATCGAGGGACAGACCACTGTTAGGCCCTTGGGTTTCTGGACAATAGTTTCCTATAATCAGGAGCTGATGGATTTGCTTTACTGTGCCAGGTTTATCCAGATCCTGTGCGTGTGGTGTCAGTTGGGGTGCCTGTCGAACAGTTACTGCATTCAAGTAACAAACAACACACTTCTGTGGAGCTGTGCTGTGGGACGTGAGTAACACATTCCTGAGTGCGGGGTAACTTTATCTCAGCCTAACCCCATGCTGTACCTGTCTGGGAGGGTTTGATAGGGAAAGTGTCAAGGAAGTTTTACTCTGTATCTGACCTTGTATTTTACCTAATAAAAACTGGAAGAACTGCGGATGTTGTAAATCAGGAACAAAAACAAAGTTGCTGGAAAAGCCCAGCAGGTCTGGCAGCATGTGTGAAGGAAAAAGCAGTGTTAACGTTTTGGGTCCGGTGACTCTTCCTCAGAACTGTATTTTGCCTATCCTGCACATGTTTAAGGGGTTAGCGTAGAGACACCCTTACTCTGCATCTAACCTGTGCTTTCTTTGATGTATTTGATGAGAATGGTGTAGAGAGAGATGTATTTTCAGTTTAAGAATACAGGAAACTTTGCCTCCCGTTTAAAAGAGTAGAAGAACCTTTATTCTATGTGTAACCCTTTGCTGTACAGTGTTTGATAGGACAATAAAGGTGGAGATATGTTCTCAAACTGTTTGCTCATACATCTTTGTGCAGACATTTGCTGCGGACAGGTATGATCCAGGACCTTGTGATTGTATCAGAGAGGCAGCTGGGCAAAGGCATCAGCAGAATACTCGCTATTACAGGAGAGGAGGCCAAAGAGGTGAGCGGTTAGCACTGGGAATGCCACCGAGTTAGAGCTGCACTCTGATGAGGAGGGTAGCATTTGGCAGAGATATAAATGATATGGAAACTGACCCTTCTGCCTAACTTTTCCATGCTGACCCAATTTCCTACACTGAACTAGTCTCATTGCTTGCATTTGGCCCGTATACCTCTTTACCTTTTCCATCCATGTACCTGTCCAAATATCCTTTAAATGTTGTAATTGTATTGTGTCTACCACTTGTAGCAGCTTGTTCCATATACGCATCACCCTCTGTGTGAAAATGTTGCCCCTTCTAAATCTTTCCCCTCTCATCTTAAACCTATGCACTTCAGTTTTGGACTCCTGTACCCTGGGGTATTTCCCCAGTCTCGTCCTCTAATGGACCACTGTTCACTCTTGCCACTTTTGTATTTTTATACTGAACAAAATGTCCACTGTTTGTTATTTAGCCCATCCTCATTTATTGTCATATTCCAGTTTCTCCCTTTCTTTTAAAATCATTATTTGCTAGTTTCTAAAACTTTCTCAAGCTGCTTGCCTAATCCTAACCTTCACAGTTTTTCATGCCCTTTCTTCCAATTTGATACCATCCTTAACTTCCTTATTTAGCTACCAATGGTGCATCCTTCTTCTCACATTGTTACTTCTCAATGGAATATATCTCTGTTGAGAGTTATGATGTAAGTGGTCAAGCATCTACCAGTGCTTTTCTACCATCTTACCTTTAAACTATTTTCTTAGTCCACTCAGTACCCAAATCAGCCCCTATGCTTTTTTATTTGCCTTTTTCTATGTTTAAAATCTAGCTTCAGACCCAGGTTTCTTTCCCTCGAACAGAATGTGAAATTCATCAAATCCAAGATGATCATTTTCAATGAGATCATTAATGCTGCTTCGTTACAGATTACCATGTCCCCTGGTAAGTTCAGAATGGGCGGTTGGCAGAATGGGCTAGAAACCGTCCTGGATACACTATGGGTTGCTCATCCACCAGTCAATCTGCCTTTGTCAGTTTGATTTGTCCAGTCTATATAAAAGTTAATTTTCCCCATTAGCAGCTATTGATTCTCCTGGGCTGACCTTTACCCAGTCCTTTGTCTGCCTTGTCTGTTGTTGACTCTCTGGGCTCCATCTCCACCTATTGTTTACTCTTCTCCCCGCCCATCTTCAGCACATATACCATGAATGTTTTCTAAGCTAATATCATTTCTGAATAAAGGTCACTGGACCTGAAATGTTACATTTGCTTTCTGTCCATAGATGTTGCCAGACCTGAGTTTTTCCAGCAATTTCCATTTTTGTTTTTAATTTTTCCCATGCCTGTTTTCATACCTTTCTTACAAGATGCCACAATTTCTGGATTTATGCTCCATTCCACAGTGTAGCTCCTGTCAGGGTCTATAAATTTACAAGTGACTTCTTTCCTTTGCTATTCCTTACATTCACCCAGACTGATTTGCACCTTGATCTACTGAGTCAAGCTAACTTGTTACGATTGTATTGATCTCACCCTTTGCTGCTTATGTATTTTTCTTTCTATTTTTCTGACATGTCAAATAACTTTAAATATTCAGTTCTCAACCTTGTTCACTGTATAACCCAATCTCTCTAGTGCCTATTATCTCAAACTCATTTATATGAATTTATGTGAAGATTTCATCTACCATCATAAGAATACTCCAAGTATTTGGGGAAAAAAGACTTCTGGCAATTTTTATTCTTCCAATGACCTCTTTTAAAAAAGTGCTCTGATCATTAATACGTTGCTGTTTATCCTGTGTGCATATTGGTGGCTGTGTTTCCTATGCTACAACAGTTACTACAGTAATTTTGAGTTGATTGAAATGATGAAAGGTGCTCGATCAATGTACGTAGTTGGTGAGGACAGGTTTAAGGAGGAGCTGTCATGCTGAGATGATTGACCTATTTGCCACAGGCCCGAGAGATGGGACGGGTCCTTGCTGAGGAAGTTGACTCTCTGTCTTTGCGCCTTGATAATGGAATGAAGTCACTGGTGGATTCACAAAGGCTGTCAAAAGAAATCGGTCAGTTAACAGATGTGAGTATCTTTTACATCCACCCAAGACAGAAGGGGGACACAGTAACTACTAATCCTCCTCACTGTGGCACCATCCCCCTGTACTGACCCTCCAACAGTGCGGTGCTCGCTCACCTCTGGCCCTCCGACAGCGCAGGCTTTATAGTATACATAGTGGTAGTGGGCTGTGACTGCTAGCTTAGTGTTAAAGTTGCTGCTGTGAATATGAGGTGACAGCTATGTGATAATGGAAAGTTTGAATCCCTCAGGTTGTAGATGGAGCTGTGATACTGCATCGAGATCGCCGACAACTGCAGGAGAGACTCCGAGCTCTTCACCGAACAGCAAACACAGCCGTTAGGAAACTGGAGAGCAGAGAGGTACCTGAGCTGGATGGGGGATGCAGAGTGGAATGTTGGTGGGGAAGGCCCACAGGATTATATGAGGAGCAGGAATGGGTGTGACCAGAGAATGGTACATAGGAGATGATGAGACTGGAGTTTTTGTCTTTCCATGGAATGTGGGTGTTGCTGGCTATGCCAGCAATTATTACCCATCCCTTATTGCCCAGAAGGTAAGAGAGGTCCATTTAGCTGTGGGTCTGGAGTCGCCTGTAGGCCAGACCAAGTAAAGATTTCCCCCCCTGAGGAACATTAGTGAACCAGGCAGGTTCTTCCAATGATCGGTGATAGTTTCATGGGCCATTATAATGACACTAACTTTCAGTCAGGGTTTTTGTTTTAAACCTGACTTTAAAATTCACCAGTTGTCATCTGAGAATTGAACCCATGTTTCCAGACCATCACCCTGGGCCTCTGGACTGCCACTCTCTGCGAAGATGGGTACATCTGGGAAGAGGGGAAAAGTCCAGAGTATGGATTGGGTGGGCACTCAAACACAGCCACATCCTGAACTCCATCTCTCACTCACCGTGCACTTTTACTGTTTTCAGGCTGCTGAGAAAGTGCAGGTTTTCCTGGAGAATCATTTGCACCAAGCATTGATTGTGGACTTCTTTCCTGTCCAGTCAATCTCGGTAAGTTAGACTGTCCCTTCCAGCCATATCAATCAAGCTTGCTTACACGTGTTCCATTCTTGCTGCTTCCTCCCTGCTCCTGATTGCTGTGTCAATCCCTGTTGGTTACAGATTCTAATGAAAATGGTGAATAAAATCTCTGAAAAAATGCCTCAATCGTCTGTGATGCTCCTGAGCCAGCTGGATTCTGGGAAGATCCTGTGTGCATGTCAAGTCCCAAAGGTAAGTAGCAGAATAAAGAGAGTCCTCCCCCTAACTGACATCACTGTGGTAACTCCTCCCTGATAGAAATCACTGAAAGCCACCTCCACTGTCATTGGGGACACCTTCCCCCACCAGGTGATGGGGGTTACAATCCTCTTACTGTGACCAGATCATTCCCATCTCCTGCCCTCCCTCAATTCAACCCCTCTGCTCACCCTGTCCCTGCATACCCTTGTGGATACCTTCCGTCGTGTTGTGTGGCACTACCATTGTGCTAAATGGGATAGATTTTGCACAGAACTAGTAACACAAAAGTAGTATTTGGAAAAGATGGATTTCAAAAGACCAAGCGATACCAGTCTTTAGCCAATTTGATTCACTCCATGTTAAATCAAGAAGTGTCTCAAGACACTGTATGAGCCCTGACAATATTCCAGCAATAGTACTGAAGGTTTCAGCACCAGAATTTGCCAAGACCTTGGCCCAACTATTCTAGTAGAGCTGCAACACTTGCACTCAACAATCTGAAAAGTTGCGCCCCAAGGCCTCTCTGTATATCAAGAGAACAGAGAACATAGAACATTATAGCACAGGAAGAGGCCCATCAGCCCATGATGTTGTACTAAAAACGATGCCAAATTAAACTAATCCCTTCTGCCAGCTCATGGTCCATATCACTCCATATCCTTATTCAAGCAGTTATCTGAAAACCCCTTAAATGCCCCTATTGTATCTGCTTCCACCACCACCCCAGCAACGTGTTCCAGGCATCTAACACTCTGTTTAAAAAAAAAAAAATACTTGCCCCTCACATCTCCTTTGAACTTTCCCACTCTTCCTTAAGTGCATCCCCTCTAGTATTAGACATTTCAACACTGGGAAAAAGATTCTACTGTCAATCCTATCCATGACCTCATAATTTTATAAACTCCTGTTGTCTCCCCTCAGCCTCCACTGCCCCAGAGAAAACAACCCTAGTTTGTCCAGCCCCCTCTTAAAGCTCCCACCCTCTAATTCAAGAGCATCCTGGTAAACCTCTTCTGCACCCTCTCCAAAGCCTCCACATTCTTCCTGTAATGTGGTGACCAGAATTGAATGCAATACTCTAATTGTGGCCTAACCAGAGTTTATAGAGCTGCAATATTGCTTCCTGACTCTTGTACTCAGTGTCCCAATCTATAGAGGCAAATATGCCATATGCCTTCTTCACTACCCTATCTACTTGTGTGGCCACTTTCACAGAGCTGTGGATTAGGACCCTAAGATCCCTCTGTACATTAATGTTCCTAAATGTCCTGCCATTTACTATATACTTTCCACTTGCATTTGACCTCCCAAAATGCAAGACTTCACACTTATGTGGATTAAACTCCGTCTGCCATTTCTCTGCCCAACTTTGCAAGTGATTTGTATCCTGCTATATCTTTTGACAACCTTCCTTACTACCCACAACTCCACCATTTTCTGTCATCTGCAAACTTATTAATCAGACCAACTACATTTTCATCTAAATCATTTGTGTTTTTATATTAACAGCAGTATGACCCCATCCTATTGATTGCACCTTTCTTATTCCTGAGTTCTACCCATATTGCCTCGCTGGATGATCCTTCTAAGATGTCCTTAATCAATAATGCAGCTCCCCAACATTTTTTACATCCCTGTCTATCACACCTGAAACATCTGAACTGTGGAACTCTGAGCTGCCATTCCTACCCTTCTTTCAACTAAGTTTCTGTAATGGGCTACCACATCGTAATCCCCTGTACTAATACAGGTTCTAAGTTCATGTGCCTTACCTGTTGTACTACTTGCATTAAAATAAATACACTTCTTCAGACCGGCAGCCCTAATGTGTTCATTAACCTAGCCTTCCCTGTTCTTCCTATTAGACTTACTTGACTTAACCTCTACCTCCTCCTCGATCACTGCAAATGCTGACCTACTGAACTTGGTTTCAATACCTCCCCCCGACAACACACACACACACACACACAAGTTTAAATCATCCTGAATGGCACTAACAAACTTCCCTACAAGGGTATTGGTGGCCCTCCAGTTTAGCCACAAACCATCCTTCTAGAGGTCACTCCTGTCCTCGAAGAGATCCCAATGATCCAGATATTTGAAGTCCTCCCTCCCGTACCAGTTCTGTAGGCATGCATTCAACTGTGTTATCTTCCTATTTCTGGCTTCATTAGCACATGGTACAGGGAGTAATCCCAAGATTGCAACCCTAGAAGGTCCTTCTTTTCAATTTCCTGCTTCATTCCCTAAATTCCCTTTGCAGGACCTCATCTTGCTGCCTATGTCTTTAGTACCAATATGGACCATGACCTCTGGCTGCTCACCCTCCTCTTTCAGGATGCCCTGTACCTGCTGAGACATTCTTGACCCTGGCACCAGGTAGGCAACAACCATCCTGGAGTCTCTTCACTGTCACAGAAACTCCTATCTGTGCCCCAGACTATAGAGTTCCTAATCACTACTGCTCATTCTTGCTTTGACCCTGCCAAATGTATGTGTTCTCCTGACAGGTCACACCCGACCCTGCCAAAAGTATCCAAATTAGTGTAGTTATTTGAGGAAAGAATAGCCATAGGGGACTCCTGCATTGCCGGTCTGACCGTCCTGGTGGTCAGCCATGTATCTGGCAGGAAGTTCTAAAGAAGGGTCACTGGGCCCAAAACATTATCGCTGCTTTCTCTCCACTGATGCTGCCAGACCTATTGAGTTACTCCAGCAATTCCTGTTTTCATTTCAGATTTCCAGCATTCATAGTTCTTCGTTTTATTTTAGTGGACTGTGTTCAGATTTGGGTTGATAAGTGACAAGTAACTTCGTGTCAGGCAATGAACGTCTCCAAGAGTTGAAAATCTTACATTTGTCCGATGTCATTTAATGGTATCACCATCTCTGAATCCCCCACTATCAAATTTCTGTGTGCTACCATTACCAGAAACTGAACTGGATTTGCCATATAAATAGTGGCTCCAAGGTTTGGAACGCTGCAGCAGATAACTCCCCACCTGACTCCCCCGAGTGTTCACCATCCACAAGAGTTAGCAATGTGATGAATCAATATGTCTGGATGGGTGCAGCTCCAACAACAGTCGCTATCCAGGACAAAGTTCAGTAACAGCAGTGTGTACTATCCACAAGATGCACTGCAGAAATTCACCATGGCTCTTTAAATCCATAATCACTATTGTAAAGATATGTGGGGACATCACCATCTTAAGTTTCTCTTCAAGAAATTGACATTTCTGACTTGGAAATATATCATTGTTCCATCAGTCAAAATCCGGAAACTCCCAAATTAGCATTGTGGGTGTACGAAATGGACTGCAACGGTTTAAAATCACAGCTTTCCCTGACCTTCTTGAGCGCAATGCAGGATGGGCAATAAATGCTGACAAGCTCTTTAAAAATGGATTTATTGAAGTCCTCACCCTCTTACCCCATCACCTTTCTGTAGTCCACCCACCCACTTGTGTTCTTTTTTCTTGCTAGGACTTGGTCAGCAGCCTTTCTGCATCAGATTGGGCTCTTGCTGTCTGTGGACGGATGGGTGGGAATGCTGGAGGCTCTGACGTTGTCGCTAAGGGAATGGGAAGCAGCTCCAACTTGGAAGAAATTATAAAACTAGCTACAGAATATGCAAGAAATAAAATGTAAAAATGGAACACGTTTAGAAATTTTGCACGTCTTGCCATGTTGTGGGGTCTTACAGTGCTTCCTTTACTTCAAAGCCGTATTATGTTTACATGTCAGTGGATCCCACTGCTTGATGAAGGAACTTTTGAGACACGTAAGAGTTAATGTAACTGGTTACCACAGATCACAAGCAAATTGGTAAAATGTTGTTCCATTTCTGAGATTATCATGATTGTCAGTTTTATTGGTTTGCAGTGCATTCTGGCTGTGGAGGTTTTCTGTTTGTTATTTAATAAACCAAAAAAAAGCAGTCTGGCTGTCTGGAAGTGGGACAGATTTCCAAATGGAAGTCAAATTTTTACTTGCTTAGAAGTGATTGTATTAAAGCACAAAGTCTGGTCCTGAAACACTTCCTCTTGATTAAATATTTAGCTAATAGTAATTAAAACAGTTCATTGTAATTGAGTGGACAGTAATTATTGCCTCATGTAAACGACACCTGAAATTAAATCCTCAGAACATACATTAGAAATAGGGGCTGGTGTAGGTAATTTGGCTCTTCGAGCCTGCCTCACCATTCAACTAAGGTCATGGATGACGTGCCCAGGCCTTAACTTCTCTTAATATTTCAAAAATTCAGCTATCTCCTTCCTTAAATACTGTAGTAGAGCCAGGGCTCATTGGCTTAGGTTATCAAGAGAGGAAACAGATTCCTGTTTTCTCTACTAACTGGCATCTCCCCAAACCCCAGCTGATGGAATAAACACCCCAAGTTATGCTTGAGGAAATAACTGAGTTTGGTTGTGCTGCGTCCAATGGACAGTCTACCTGCTAATGCTTGGTGACTGATCATTTGTATTGTATCTTAACAGTATTACTATCTGAGCACCTTTGAGCAATGGATCCATAAAATATATGCCAAAGGTGCTGTTTCATGAAATGCATCATTTAGCTAAAAAAGACAGGGCAGTGGGGCAAGTAGATTTAGGAATTGTCAGCATATCAATAGAAGATGCTCTTGTGTTTAAAATGATGTGAGCAGGACAGATACTCAGAGACAATTAATGATGAGGTCAATTTGAGATGCTATGGTTCATAAACAGGACGAGCAACAACCTGTACTGTCATTGTTTATATTTTGTTATATTGGGGAAGAGAGGATTGATTTCCTGTGGTACTGCTTGACCAGGGAAAAAAAAAACTAGCAATGGCAATTCCGAGCACCATCCCATTGCTCAAGGGCAACAGTGAAAAGTGCTTGTTTGAATGGCAAAGTCTGAAGCAGACTAATGCACCAGTTGTGTTAGTGGGTGGCAGAAGCAGAAACCAGATTGAAAATTCAGTAGTAGCATTGAGATGTTGTCTGGTTCATGCTGCGTTCTTTGTGTGGGAAATAATCCTTTATTTTCAGATTTTAGTACCTAGAGGAAAGACAAGCAAGCTTAACTCTAAGCGTGTGTGTCAGGTCACTACTGTTACTGTTGATTATATTTTTAAAAAATATGACAAAAATTATGAAGTGAATTTCTTTTGGGAGCCAGTTTCATTTAACCCTCAAACTGGTTATTGGGTCAATTATTTTGTTACTAATAGCCCTTCTTCAGGCAAAGGGTTTCATTACACTAGCCCATTTTGAATGTCATTTCATTGGTAGTAAAAGGTTGCAATAGGTACTAATTATATATAATTTAAGAAATATTTATTCAATCAAGAAACAAAGTAAAGGCAACACAAGCCTGAGTGGAAATCTTTATTTCAGTCAAAAAATATAAAAAGTAACTTCTTTATTTGTACAGTGCATGTTTTTGCAAGCAATAAAATCTTGGGTACTGTTACATAAGCAACCATGAAAAAATATCTCCTATCCATGTTCAACAATTGTTCCCATCAAAACAAAGCTATATACAAATATTGCCTCAGAACTCCTAGGCTCATTGAAATTGCAGTGCTGAAGTAAAAAGAATTTTAGCTTGAGTTCACATCATAAGCTGGAACTATTCATAACTACAAAAGACATTTTTCTCACATTGGTGAAATAGTCCTTCTAGATAGAAAAAAAAAATAGCAAGTTCACCCATATTCTCAAAAGCAATGCATGGGACTGAAGAACTGTCAGAATTAAGAACTGTCAGAATTTAAATCAACCCTATTTCTACTTATTTGACATTGTTTCCAGAGCTTTGATGGTCACAAGCCTTCTGATTTCATTGATTTGTTGCTGATATTTTACTGACTCAGCTGCTGTGGTCAAGGTCTAGGGTTAAGTGCAGTGAATTGCTCCAGATAATAGATTGATGCTTAGGAAGCGTCTAAGCTTAGCATCATGCCTCAAATCAAATCAGTTTGAAACAATGTTCCAGAATCCAGGGTTATTTTATATAAGGGCATGCCAAGACAGGGTGAGCTCTTGAAGGGACAGTAGGGGGCTACTTTAATTACTATCCCATAATACAATTAGTTTCATTTTACATAGACTCATGAGCCACAGATTTCTAAAAGCATGTGGCACTGAATACCACAGAAGGGATTCTTTTATAAAAATCACACAATCCCTGCAGTGTGGGAGCAGACCATTTGGCCCATACCAGCCCTCCGACATGCATCCCATGGCAAATACAATAATCCTGGAAACTATGGACAGTTTAGCATAGCCAGTCTACCTAACCCACACATCTTTGGTCATTAGGAGGAAACTAGAACACCCATGCAGATATGAGGAGGAACATGCAAACTCCACACAGTTACCAAAGGGTGGAATTGAATCCAGTCCCTGGCAATGTGAGGCAGAAGTGCTAACCACTGAGCCATAGTGCTGCCTCCTTGGCAGTGCTAGACAATGAATGTTACACTAAATTGATTATATTGAAGTCAGTTAAATCCATCTGAAATACTGTAATTCTTTTCATACATAAAAAATATTTAGTCAGTAAAGCTACATTTATAATCAAGAATACATCAAAAATGTCCTTTAATAAAAGGAAGTCTGATTTTTAGGATACCAGAATTCAGCACAGAAAATAAAATCAAAAAATAAATTCAGAACATGTACATCTTATACATAGGGAGAGTCTGTGTTAGTCTGGCAAAGTGACAGACAGCCTGTAGATCTTGTACTCCTTTAGGCTATGGTAACTATGTGGTCTTATTTCCACACCCCCCCCCCCGTTTTTAAACTCAGGTTGTGCACCATGTCATTTATTAAAACCGATGGTTAGGAATACACAATCAGTAGGACATTTAATAAAAGTCAACTCTGAAAAATGGTTCGGATACAGGCTGCCTGCTGATGTGACCGTTTGCCACAACCAAGTGCAGGAAGATCTCTTTGGACGTCCCACCAATTTCTGCATCATATTAAGATTTGCACCAGCAGAAATCTGCAATTCATCTGTAACCTGTCCTTACTTACAATCAATGGACAGCAAGAGAATGCAAGGTAGAATTCATTCTATTGGTTTTATTTTACTGGTAAAACTCACAAACTGGATAACCAACACAAATTCTACAAAATAACTGCCTGCACTCCAGGGAAGTTGTGGCTTCATGGAATCTGGAGCCCACCCTTCGTATTCATCCTCAACATTACTCAAAAATCAGAGCATCTCTATTTAATTCTGGAACCATAGGTTTCCGATTGGTGGACTACAGTCAAGGTATTGGCTTTATGATGAGTGAAAAATCAAACGTAAACAATAGTGTGATACTTTGCAGAGCCAGAAGTCAAAACAAAATAATGCCCCTCTCATTACAGATCCATTCTGTAGTCATATAAAATTAAGCTATGGGGGAGCTCCTGCTGAAAAATACACAGTTGAGGTTTCATCTATCAACAATAAACACAACCCCTCACATTCCAACGAAGGCAGCAAGCTAATATTAAAATAGACTTTTCAATCAGATGCCATCTTCCAGCTTTAAAAATAAATTCTTTATGTCCTAAAGGAATCCAAATCGAAGATAAAAACAGGATTCAAGAAAACTAAGCCAAAGTATTGGAAACGACAGCTCAGAATGAATGGTCCATGTTATGCCATGGATTAGTAGAGAAAATGGGGTCCACCTCAATTTCCTAAAACAGCAGGATCAAAAACTTTGTGGCTACACCCACTTGTCCTTGGCAAATAAACACAAGGAATGCTGAAGAAACCCAGCATGTCTGGCAGCTTCTGTGAAAAGAATTAACACTGAGTGACATATTGGACTCAAAACATCAACTCGTGTTTTTCTGTCCACAGATGCTGCCAGGCCTGTTGCATTTCTCCAGCTTTCTTGGTATTTGTTTCAGATTTCCAGCATCTACATTATTTTGCCACTTACTTTCCTGCACTAAGTGTTTCTGATGAGGTTGAAGATTTAACCCATCCTCGAGCTTCCAGCACTGGAAAAGTGAACGTTCTAGTTACCAAATCTCTGGCTCATTAATAGCACTGTAAATATTTAAGTAAAATTTTCAATATCCATGAACAAAATGTCTTCTTTTAAAAGACTTCATTGAGAGTGTTACGGATAAATCATGAGCCTTCCAGTGTATATTCTTCACTCATACAAAATAGCAAAGTGACACAAACCAGGATTCCAGAAAACAGCAAGGCATTCAAAGAAACCTAGAGTTGGCTAAATATATTTGGATCCCTGTTCTAAAGATGGCTTACAGTACAAGAACTGCACAGGTCACCATATCAGGAAAAGTACCCTACAGAATTTTAAAGGTTTCAGGTAATGCAGGTAGGCTCATAATTATTCTATACTCCCAGATGATGATCTCCTTTAAATACTACTGTAGGAAACAGATATGAAGGGAAACAGAACCCATGATGCAGCATCACAAAGATCTGGTAATCCCTTTGGGCTGAACTTGGACTACGCATAATCAAATAACCTGAGTATGATAATTCAGGATAGATGAATGGGCAGATATAGAGAATGAAGGAAAATGGATAGGGAAGAAAGGAATAACTGAAGTGGTGATCAGAACATTCACATTTATGTGTAGCCAGTTAGGTAACAGTTCTTCAGTTCCCTATCCTGATTTTCTAAAAAGGTGGATGAATACAAAACTTCAAACTGAAATTACAACCCAAAGCAACTGGCCAAAGTATTCATAATAAATGATAAGGATTTGGAAAATGGCCATTAATTCCAGTAGTTACCTTTACAGTTTTTTTTAAAAACAGGTGAAGGAGAAATTTGAAAATGTTTTGCACACTAGGTCAATCATGACAATGTGAATAAAGGTTCAAAATTATAACATGCATCATGCAGGACCTGCCCCTTATTAAAATACAGGAAGAATCAAAAAGTGAAAAAGCAAAAATTTAAATTTTCTTTAAAACAGCTGATGTGTTTAAACACAAGAGATAGTGCAATCTGCCGTGAGGAACGATGATTTTATGACCATCTTAAAGCAGGTCTCAATACAATCAGCTCTTATTTCATGAATACCTGAGAGAAGTGAACCCTTCTGTGGTGAGTGACATACCAAATCTTTAAATAATTAACCATGTTTAGAGTTCACAGTCTTTACCAAAGTTAAATAGTAACACCAGCACAAAATATTTGTCCCTCAAGCTATCCTGTCCCTTCCTTCAAATTAAGGAAAAATGAGCTATAAGGAATATATTTCAAATTTTAAAAGAGTCTGCCAGGGCATTCTGTCCACTGGAAGATTACATACTTTGTTCTGCTGTAAATAGGTGGCTAACTATGAATCAAGTTTTTCTTTTATAAAAGGGGGAGGGACAGGGTTATAACGGAAGAACGTATAAATACTTTTAAAACCAACCAGCCTCATGATTACAATTGGATGAATATATTAACATTCATCTTGCATTTTCTTCAAAACACAAGTGACAATAATGTGCAGAGGCATGTAATCTAGTGGGTAAAACAGACTTGCTCAGTAGATATATGGGAAGATTCGGTAGCGGACCTGCTGGCAATACTTATTCCAAGCCACACCATACTTCTTCCTGCACTGACGCTCATCCCTGGCTTCACGGTGAATAAGCAGACAAATGAAGTAAATTACGTAGAAATACGGAATGATGTGGTTGAACCCTGTGAAGAGAGTGAGAAATGTAAATTTTTTTTTAAAAAGCAAAAAATCTGTTCTGGCTTCTGAGAAATCACACGTCATCAGGCTATAGTCTAACAGGTTTATCTGAAATCACAAGCTTTTAAAGCACTGTTCCTTCATCAGATGAAATAGAGGGAAGCGCACAAGCACAGAATTTATAGGTGGAGAGAACATTACAAGATCATTGCTGGTAATTAAAAGTATCACAAGATAGTACAAATGGTGTCAGTGCATTGTTGACAAGCTGAATAACAAGTCTTTGCAGGTGATCAAACGTGCAAAATGGTAAGAGTAAAGTGTCAACAGCTGAATAGCAAGTGAAGGGATGACCTATGATTGATCAGGTCAAAAGTCACACGACACCACCTGACATTCACACACTTTGCCCACCCCAGTCCAACTCCAGCATGTCCACATCATGGCTTCTCAAATGGAAATCTTGTTTCTGTAAGAGTGTACTTGCTGCTTGGCTTGTACTAACCGCGTAACAACATAGATCAGATGATTGGGGAGGAAAAAGAAACAACTCTCAACCCGTTTCAGTCTCTGAACCCTGCTAACCTTCGACACCAGGCATTTCATACACTCTGCTCAACTTCTGCTCCCCATCGGGTCTCCTTTCTACATGCACTAAAACCTGCTCCTTTCCCTCTCTCCACCACAGTACTTCACACTTAGTAACACCTTGCCAAGTCTTTATAAATGATGCAAAATAAGAACAAGTGCTAGGGATGCACAGCTGGATTGGCAGCATCTGAGGAGAGAGAAACAGATTAACATTTAGAGTCTAATGACTTCTCTCTGGAATGTAATACTCAATGGCTCAACTTTTTAAATAATGAATCCTGGACTTCATGCTCAGCAACCCCATTTCCACTCCTCTATTCACTTGAGACAGAAGCAAGCAGAATTTAAGTCCTCACATAGCATCCAGTTGATAAATAACTAGTAATAGGAGTGCATGATGATTTAATTGTCAGTCATATTAAAGGTGCACATTTGGAATTCTTGGCAAGGGTTTTTATTTTATGCAGTGAATTCAGTTGGAAAAAGTGAAAATTACCTGTATGACTGAATAAAAACTGCAAATCTAAGATCTAGGCTCTACAGTCCTGCTATATCCAGTCATGAATGGCGGTGGGCAATGAAATAATTCACTGGAGGAGCAGACTCCATAAATACCCCCATCCTCAAATGATGCGACAACCAAGCACATCAATTCAAAAGACAAGGCTGAAACATTTGGCTGAGGATTGTTGCAGTGTTAATTAGATAATTCATTTCCACCTTCTCAGAGGGTCCCCAGCATCACAGTTACCATTCTTCAGTCAATTCAAATAACAACACAATACAAAACAGCACAGTAACAGGCATAAATAAAGATAACACACAGTATGGAGCTGGAGGAACACAGCAGGCCAGGCAGCAGAGCAGCAGGAAAGCTGATGTTTCAGGTCCCGACCTGAAACGTCAGCTTTACTGCTCCTCTGATGCTGCCTGGCCTACTCTGTTGCTCCAGCTCCACACTGTTATCTCTGACTCCAGCATCAGCAGTTCTTACTATCTCATAGTAACAGGCTTAGTGGGCCAAAGAGCCTGTTACTAATCCCTATTTAGACCAGTTACTTTTAGCCCATGTGCAATATCTCTCTCTCTCTCTTTCTCTCCTAACACATGAAATAGCAGCAAGACTCCGAAAGTCTGTGTTTTCAAATAAACCTGTTGGACTATAACCTGGTGTTGTGTGATTTCTGACCTTGTCCACCTCATGTTCATGTGTTGATCAAGATATGCTTGAAACATTACTAATGTGTCTGCTTCTACGACCTCCACTGGCAGTGCATTTCCTCACGTCTCTCCCCTAAATTTTCCCCCTATCACCCTGAACCTCAAGTAGTTGACCTTTCCATCCTGAGAGAAAGCTTCTGACTATCAACCCTAACTATGTGTCTCAATTTTGTAGACTTCTTTCAGCTTGCCCCTCAGCTTGCATCTTTCCAGGGTAAACATTCCAAGTTTACCCAATCTCTCCTCATAACTAAAACCCTCCAGACCAGGCAACATCCTGGTAAACCTTTGCTGAATCCTCTTCAAAGCATCTACGTCTTTCTGTGAGTGCAGCAACCAGAACTGCAGGCAATAATCCAAATGTAGCTTAACTAAAGTTTTGTGCTGCTGTAACATAACTTGCCAACTTTCATATTTGATGCGCCGGCCGATGAAGGAAAGCATCCTGTATGTGTTCTTGACCACCTTATCTACCGGTGTTGCCATTTTCAGGGATCTGTGGACCTGTATGCCTAGATCTGTCTACATGTCAATGCTGCTAAGGGTTCTGCCATTTATTGCATAATTTGCACCTGAATTTGATCTTCTAAAATGCATCACCTCGCATTTGTCCAGATTAAACTACATCTGCTGTTTCGCTACCTAAATTTGCAATCTATATCTCGCTGTATCCTTTGACAAACCTCCTAACTAACTGCGACTCCGTCAGTTTTGGTGTCAACCATAAACTTAAATCAAACTTATATTTTCCTCCAGATCATTTATATGACAAAGGTCTCAGCACCGATCCCTGCAGAACACCACTAGCTACTTATCTCCCTCCGAAAAACACCCACTGCTACTCTGTCTCCTATGACCAAGCCAGTTTTGTATCCATCTAGCCAGCTCAGCCTGGATCCCATGAGACTCTACCTTCTGTACCAGCCTGCCATGAGGTACCTTATCAAATGCCTTACTAAAGTCTATGCAGATAACATCCACTGTGCTTGCCTCAAATCATTCTTGTCACCTCCTCAAAGTAATCAAGTTGGTGAGACATGACCTTCCCTGCACAAACCCACGCTGCCTATCACTAACGAGTCCATTTGCTTCCAAATGTGAATAAATTTGTCTCTCAGTACCTTCTCCAACAGCTCACCGGCTGCAATTATCTAGATTACCCGTTTCTCTTCTTAAAGGAACAATACTAGCCATTTTCCAGTTTTCTGGAACCTCATCTGAGGCAAAAGAGGATGGAAAGATATCTGTTAAGGCCCCAGCTATTTCTTCCTTTGCCTCCCACAGTATCCTGGGATAGATCCCATCTGGCCCTTGGGGGCTTGTCTACCTTAATGTATTTCAAAACACCCAATGCTTCCATCTTCATAATGTTGATCTGCCTGAGAGTATTTACACACCTTTCCCTAACCTCAAGTCCCTCTCTTTGCTGAATACCAATGTAAAGTAGTCTTAAGGATCTCACCCATTTCCCCTGACTCCACACATAACCTCCCTCCTTTATCCTTGAGTGGGCCTAATCTTTCCCTAGCTACCTTCTTGCTGCTAATATATGTATAAAATGCCTTGGGATTCTCCTCAACTCTGCTGGCCAATTTTTGCCCTCCTAATTCCCAATTTGAGCTTAAGAACAAAGAAAATTACAGCACAAGAACAGGCCCTTCGGCTCTCCAAGCCTGCGCCAACATGTAGCCTGCCACAACTAAAACCCCCTACCCTTTCGGGGACTGTATCCCTCTATTCCCATCCTATTCATGTATTTATCAAGATGCCCTTTAAAAGTCACTATAGTATCTGCTTCCACTACCTCCCCCGGCAGCGAGTTCCAAGCACCCAACACCCTGTGTAAAATAAAAAATTGCCTCGTACATCACCTTTAAACTTTGCCCCTCGCATCTTAAACCTATGGCCCCTACTAACAGACTCTTCCACCCTAGGAAAAAGCTTCTGACTGTCCACTCTGTCCATGCCCTTCATAATCCTGTAGACCTCCGTCAGGTCACCCCTCAACCTCCATCGTTCCAGTGAGAACAACTCAAGTTTCTCCAACCTCTCCTCCTTGTGAATGCCCTTCATACCAGGCAACATCCTGGTAAATCTTTTCTGTGCCCTCTCCAAAGCCACCACATTCTCCTGGTAGTGTGGCGACCAGAATTGAACACAAAATTCCAAATGTGGCCTAATTAAGGTTCTATAAAGTTGCAACATTACCTGTCAATTTTTAAACTCAATGCCCCAACCGACAAAGGCATGCATGCCATATGCCTTGTTGACTACCTTCTCCACCTGCTTTGCTACTTTCAGTGACCTGTGCCTATCCCTCTGCATTTCAGTACTCTTAAGGGTTCTGCCATTTACTGTATATTTTCCATCTGAATTAGACCTTCTGAAATGCATTCTCTCACATTTTTCTGGATTAAACTCCATCTGCCATCTCTCTGCCCCCCCAAGTCACCAATAGATCTATATCCTGCTGTATCCTCCGACAGTCCTCATCGCTATCCGCAATTCCACCAACCTTTGTGTCATCCACAAACTTACTAATCAAACCAGTTACACATTCCTCCAATGAATCCTGCCATTCCTGCCCTTCATTTTCACAGAAATATGCCTGTCCTGCACTCTAAATCAACTGGTCCTTAAAAGAATCCCACGTTAAATGTGGATGTACCCTCAAACAGCCACTCTCAATCCACATTCTCCAATTCTTGCCTAATTCGGTTATAGTTGACCTTCCCCCAATTCAACACCTTCATCCGAGGTCCACTCTTGTCCTTATCCTTAAGTATCTAAAATCCAAAAGAGGATGCTGAGACTTCGCCGATCAATCTGGGAGAAGTCAGCGTAGTCAACACGACCATTCAGCAGGGTGTGGAAGAACCATCCCGGTGATAAGCAGCAGGAAAAGCATGCTGAGAGGCTGAGCATTCTGGGAGAAGTTGGTGCAGTCACTGCGACCATTCAGCGGAGAGAGGAAGAACTCGGTGACAAGGAACAGTGAAGTGCGGGCTTAGGTGAATACTCGGCTTCAGTGAGTAAGGCAAGCAAGGTAAAGGAAAGGTAAAATTCTTTCATCTTTCTTAGCGCAAGGGGCAGAGATGGCATTTAGGGCAGTGATGTGCTCATCCTGCCAGATGTGGGAGATCGGCGGGGGCAGTCTACTGTCCCTGATGACTATGTCTGCAGGAACTGTGACCGGCTGTAGCTCCTCATCGACCACGTTGTTCAGGTGAAGCAGCAGTTGGACACACAGAGGATCTTACAAGGGGCAAAGAGTGTGATAGCCACTAGTTACAGGATGGTGGTCACACCAGAGGTTCGGTCAGGTAGATGAGTGACTGCCAGGAGAGGCAGTCAGGTGGTCCAGGAGTCTCCTGTGGCTATTCACCACTCTAACAGGTATACTGTTTTGGATACTGAGAGGGGGGAGTAGCCTCTCAGGGGAGTATACAAGCAACAGCTGTAGAGCAGGGTTGGGCAAGATCCAAGTTAGTAACAGTGGTAGGAGATTTGCTAGTTAGGGGCACAGACAGGCGTTTCTGTGGCCATATCCGAGACTCCAGGATGACGTGTTGTCCCCCTGGTGCCAGAGCGAAGGCTGTCTCTGAGCCATTACATGAAATTCTGAAAAGGGTATATAGTGGGCAGCCAGAGGTCGTGACGCAATTTGGTACCAACGACATAGATAGAAAGAAGGAGGTCCTGTGGAGTGAGTACAGGGAGTTAGGAAAGAGGCTGAGGAGCAGGACCTCAATAGTAGTTGTCTCTGGGTTACCACCAATGCCACATTGCGAGTGAGGCAAGGAATAGAAAGATAGGACAGATAAATACGTGGCTAACGAGATGCTGCAGGGGACAGGGTTTCAAGTTCTTGGATCATTGGGACCTCTTCTAAGGCAGGGGGGACCTGTACAAACATGACAGGGTGCACCAAAACTGGAGGGGAATCAATATTCTGGCAGGGAGATTCGCTAGATCTACTCAGGAGGGTTTAAACTAGAGTGGCAGGGGACTGGGAACCAGAGCAGCAAGTCAGCAAGTGGAAGGATTGAAGGGAAGGTAGACAATAAGACCAGTAAATCAGAAGGAAAAGACAAGCAGAGACAGGTAAATGAATACGATGGTACTAACGGGCTGATGTGTGTTTATTTCAATGGAAGGAGTATTATAGATAAGGCAGATGAGGTTAGGGCCTGGATCAGTATATGGGACTATGATGTTGGGCCATTACAAAGACTTGGTTGAGAGGCGGACAGGACGGTCTGCTCAATGATTCAGTGTTTTGTTGTTTTAGATGAGATAGAGGAAGATAAGAGGGTGGAGGAGTTGCATTACTAATCAGGGAGAAAATGTTACATCTTTGCTCAGAGAGGACTGCTGAAGGGTTCATCCACTGAGGCAATATGGACAGAGCTCAAAAATAAGATGGGCGCAATCACTCTGATAGAATTATACTACAGGCCCCCAGCAGCCACCGAGACATTGAGGAACAAATATGTAGGCAGAATACAGAAAGGTGCAATAAAAACAAACAATCATTGTGAGTGACTTTAACTTCCCCAATATTGACTGGGACTCCCTTAGAAC